TACGAGCACAGCTCAATACATAACGCAGAATCTGGTCGCATTAACATAATACAAATGTCTGTACAATTATTTAATTTAACATGCGCATTTAAGTAGCTACATTCAAATGTTAATAACAGAGGAGTCTAACTTATCATGAAATCGTTAGCAACTGCGGAAACGCTTTACAAACATGTCTGTTAACTTAACATAAACCTGTTATGCTACTACATTAAGCAAACAAAATATGTAAATTAAATTTATTTTAATTCTGTATTATATTTTATTTAAAATATAAAACAGATGTTTTTTGCGCTTCAAGCAATTCCTCTCTCAAAATCCACTCGCAAGTGAAAAGTGTTCGTAATGCGGCGTACTTAATAAGCAACTCTCGCTTGTGCATATTCCTATTATTAACTACCGTATTGGTGCGTCTGAGGCTGGCCAAAAGCCAACAAACAGCCAAGAGATTTGAGCCTACATAAAAAACCGTTCGCTGACTTCTTGACTGTTTGTTCAGCTTGGTTTAAAGTGAGCGCAGGCGTTGAGCTTTTTGTCATGTATATGTATGTATGGGTATATACAATATGTGTGTGTGTGACTTTGCATCTGTGCACTCGCATGTGTGTGTGCGTGTTCGCGTGTGTGAGAGTGTAACGTACTTGTAGTCAAAGTCACTTTCAGCTTCGTTGCGTTCTCATAATTTTGTGACCAAATTTAGAGGCGAGCAGCAGCAGCAGCAGTCGCGCAGCACGTGTGGGCGACCATAAGCCAAAAAAAAAAAAAAAGTAAATAAAAACAAATCAAATTTTGTCGTATTTCGCTAATCTTTAGAAAAAAGTTTTGAACACAGCTGCTTTTATTTTTGAGCAGCGTTTACCTTATTAGCATACGGTCTTGTCTTCACTTCTTGGCGGCAGCGCCTGCCTAGGTCAGTTATCTCCCAACCGATCAGATCGGATCGTAGCAGCTGCTGATTCATGCTAAGATCTTGGCTACATGACAATCTGCCCACCCGCATGCGAAGCCCGCTTGGGCGTGTCGTGTAGAAGTGTGTGTGTGTGTGTGTGTACAATTGATGTAATATGGCTACCGTTGTTGTTATTATTGACACAGTTTCTGGCCTCGCACAGTTGCTGCCTCTGCCTTTGGGTTAAGCTCCGTACTTAAGCTTTTACGCTGGGGATTTTGTGCCGTGTCATAGGCCTTGCCACTTGGCCGACGACTTTTCAGACGCAATCTCAAAGGCATGTTGCGCTGTGCTCTGGTGGGCAGATAGCCAGCCAGCCAGTCAGCCAGTTAGCTAGCTAGCTAGCTAGTCAGCCATCCGGCCAAGTTGATTAACTTGATTGGTAACGCAAATTCGCAACTATTCGCCAACACACACACACACATACAGAGAGAGAGAGAGAGACAATCGATCGCGCCCAAGAACTCGACGGGAAGGCGAAGCGGCAGCAAGGCAGCTTAGCGCTGTTAAGTAGCTTTCCATGTTGACTCCATTTACTGTCCAATTCTCTTGACTGGCGATAATTCGACAGTTGCTGGGCGTTGCGTCAAGGACGGCCATTCATCTGTGAGTCGGATATGTGGAGCTCTAAAAATATATTATATAATATACATACAAATATGCATAGTATTAAATAATTCTAAAGTTTTTGAACTCGTTTGATTAATTGAGTGTATCGTTTTATTTTGTTTATATTTTATTTATTTTGATTTTATTTTTTTTATTGCAGTTTTGATGACAGTCTCGTGTCTTCCCGGCGACGCAAGGAGCGATCCAAGCGTTCGCATCGCAAATCGCCAGCCACTGGCCGGCGTCAGCACAAATACCGTTATAGGGAGGAGACCTCACACTCGAGCTCAAGGCGCCGGCATCGCGATCGCGCCAAGGACGAGCGCGACAGCGGACGCAACAATCGCCAGTCGCCACCTAAGGTAAAAACTTTTCATTTTCTAAGCTCCAAACCATGCAAAGCAAACGAACGATTTTAGGCTGAGCAATTCAACAATAATTTCAATTAAAAAACCAAACACAATTCATTAATTTATGGTAAAAGAAAGATTAAGCAATTAGTTATTTAAGAAAAAATTCGAAATCGTATACACACACACATGGATACGTATCTCTATGTGTAAACCTGATCAAGTTTTCTTCGTATATATTTAAATGTGCTCACCTCAGCCGCTTGCCAAATTTGTTGCAATTTTGAATGAATGTTGTCGTCCTCCCGATCAGTTATCAAATCACCGTGCGAGACACGATGCTGTTCTTTAAGCGTTATTTGGAAAAGTCGCAGCTAGCGGCCAAACAGTTCGAATCTGCGCAGATTCCATGCTACATCAAGATGCGTGAGATGCCCGGACCCCAACGCATCGATCATCATCGCGATCTGTTGCTGGAGTGCTCCTCGTTGCGCTACAGGCCATACACAGAGGATTGGATTGTCATCGAGTACTTTGCTGATCACGATAGTGATTACCTCGTAAGCCTCCTGCTTGATTGTCGTAATACCTTCCGTTCGCTCGCTCATTCCTTCCTTCATCAGCTGCCTTGAAATGCAACTGTTTCACTTATAAGCGATTGCCACGCATCCACGATCTTGCTCTGACCTGTGTTGTCTCTACACTCTGAAAGAAAAACTGTTGTCTGATTTTGTTTTCGTTTTCTTCGTATATTTACTCAATTTCCCCCACTATACATGTGTCTGATGACTCTCGCAATCGCTCATCTTATCGCCTTGCGGTCTGGCTGTGCTAATTTTGTGATTAAATTGTAATCATTTGCAAGCTAAATATATAATCAATCTCAATTCTCGTTGTGGCTCTGCACACGAGAAACCACACACGGTTTAAATAGGACAAGAATCGTCAGACTCGAGCTAAAATTCATCGTTGATTATGAGACTTTGATAGATTATAACAATATTAGCAATTATGTTGAAAAAAAAAAAAAAAAAAAAAAAAATTAAACAGAAATTTTTATCAGCTATTATGATATATATCCATGTCGCTCCAAATCAAGGTTATATTTACTCGAATTCCACGTCTGATTAAACTGCATACTCACGTATCTAATCTTGATCAACCAAAGCATTTCTTTAGAATATGAAGCATGACTTTGACAAGTGATATCAAGGTGCTGTTAACTCGTGAGACTCAAGTATCTGATAAGACAAAAGTATCGACCATCTCAAAATATAAACTAGATCAATTGAATAATATATATGTATATGTACATATATCTTTACCAGAGAGAGAGAGAGAGTGTGTGTGTGAGTTGACGATAATCTGTTGAATTAATTGCTCTGCCGCGGGTCTGTCTGTCCTCGTTATTTTCGTTCAATTAATCATTTGACATTAACAACACTCGTTGGGTGGGGCGGGCAGTGGCCAGTCAGTCGATGGCAATTGAGTGGACGAGCATTTGTCGACTGTCGCATTAAAGAAACTCATCAAGATTCAGTACTTTCGGCAGTTGGAGCAGCAATACAAACGGCGGCAGTATGCCCAGAAGGCGACGACGGCGTCGACAGCGGCGCCAACTTTAAATGGCAACCGTAATGGGGACAATGGGGAGTCGGGCGACCACAATAGGAATGGGGCTCTGGTCAGCCGTTGTCGGCTATTGAAGCGTCAACGTAATCTATTCGATTTGGCTGCACTCTGCGATATGCCCGTGGACCGTTATACCGGCGATAGTTGGATTCTCGATGAGTATTTCGTCGATCACAGCGACGACTATTTAGTGAGTGAGCGAACGGGGAACCGGGAGAACAAGAGCTAACAAACACTCACTCACACTCTCAGTGCTGCTGCATGATGTGGGCTGCATGATTTGCCCCCTACACAGTGTGCTCTCCCATACACAAACACACACAGACACAGACACACACGCGCTCACACTCACTCACTCTCTCTCACACACTCTATGACTCTCTGGCTGGCCAGCTGATCGGGTGCGCGCGCAGCTGCTCCTCCTAGCGTCTGTATTTCGCCATTTGCTCAAAAAGCGTTTTCGCCTTGGGGGCCGACGCCATTGGGGTAAATTAAAAATATACCACACACCAACAGTAAAACGGAAAATCCACAATGCTCGGCATGCTTTTTCGTTTGAGCATTTTCCAAATCTGAAACTGAAACAGAAACAGATTCAAATCTTCGTTTGTCGGTTGTGTATCGTTCTCGGCCAACGTACGTTTGTTGAGGCCTTTGGCTAACGTGTAACGGTACGTGTTTATACACGCGTCTATCTCTCTCTCTCTCTCTCTCTCTGTCTTTCTCTTTCTCACTCTCGTTCTGTCATACTCTGGCTGCCTACCTCCATCTCACTCCAGCTCACTAACTGTCGCGAATTTGTTTATATTTGTGTGTGCGTGTGTGTTTGTGTGTGTAGGGAAATATATTTCAGATACATGTTTAGCGATTACTTCACTTGAATTGTCCAAAAGAAAACGCATTTGCCCCTGAGACCAACGGCACATAGGCAACTGCAGATATATAAAAAACAACATATAAAACAATTATAAAGAGCATTTGTTAAGCATCGAGCGTGACATAATCAGGCAGCCCAAGGAACTAAATAAAAAATAAAAAACGAAAAACAAAAACTTGAACAAATTTAAGTGCTTTAAAAATAAAATCGAAACAGCAGCAAGAACAACTACAAAAGAGCCGCACATGAAAAAAAGAAAAAGAAGAAAAAGAAAAACATTAGATAAAAAACATGTATTATAAAGTATAAAATACTTGCGTAAATTGTCGCCCCAAAGACAATTCGTGGTCCAAATGGGTTTTTGATGTGCCATGCGCTTAGGTGAATAATAATCAAAAGGCACAGCTGTAAAACTGTAAAATCGAGGCCCCAAATTTGCAGTCTATCAGGTCTGAAGGAGGCGCATTTCGTTTAGCAGAAGAAGAAGAAGAGGCAGAGAGTACAACACGGCGGCCAACCAAATCAAAACAAAAACCTAAAACTAACAATCACAGCAACAACAACAACAACATTCATTGTACACAAATGGAGCACACACACACTCTCATGAAAATGTATCTATATACGCACACAAGTGCATATATATAGTATATATGCATCAGAGATCAACAGGAATTATTCATCAACAGCTAGCCGGGCAGAGTTCCATCATGTTGATCTATGATGCTGTTGCCTTCTGCCTTCTGCCTCCTGCCCTCTGCCTTCTGCCTGCTTCCTCTTCTTCTTGTGTTCGCCAAGTTATTTTTGTAATGTTTGGTTTTATTTTTGGTACGCTCGTTTATTTCCACAAAAATATAGCAAAAAGTCCAAGCACACATATTGCCCATATAAGAAAACGAGCCCAACCTATAGGGAGGAAGAGATTTTTCTGATTTTCCAATACACTCAAACGTTCGGTGCGAGTCTCTGTGTGTGTGTGATATTTAGACCTGACAGGCGGAGATTTGCAAAGGTACAACAGTAAATGGTCGTGCAATGAACTTTACAAATATTATATTTTCATGGTTTACTTAAATTTTTCATAAACAATTTAAAGTTGTAAAAAATCATTTGTTTTCTCAACAAAATCTGAGGTCTAAAATGAAATTGGCATTAGAAAACCAACTGTTTACATAGCTGATTCATGGCAAGAGGTAACACTGTACCATGCACATCTAGCTATATATATGTGTGTGTGTATATATATACTTTTATATATCATGTTTTATACACTACAACTACTGTGCGCCAATTTACGTGCGTTGTCGTCTTTCTTGCTTGTTTTTGTTAAAAATAAAAACAGATTTCGAACAGAGAGGCACACACTGGCAGAGGCAACTAGCTAAGCGAGATCTATATACAATATAAATGTATATGTGCATATACATTCGTATGCATACGTATATATAGAGAGATGTACTTTCGTACAGCCAGGGCCGTCACTCACTTGGACACATGTAGTCGCCCCATTGGGATGCGCTCGTGCTCCAGCAGCTCTCCAACACCACGCTGATTATACCTATATATAGGGCAAGGTATTGCTGGATGGGCAGGCGTTAACCGTTAACCAGGAATTGGCAGGCTGATCTGTTTTGCTTTGGTCTCAGAAACGGCGCCGCAATCAGTGAGCTCATTGCTGCATACGATCTATATACATATATATACGTATTCATATATATATATATATTTATATATATCTGTATGTGGAATGTCGAGTGGCCCAGCATATGTGCCGCTGATTCAGGTGTAGTCAATAGTTACATATAATACATATATATATATATTCATGTATATATATCTGCTACAAGCACAAATCGCATCGAGCGCCAATGTGCAGGGTGAAGGAAAATAGTTTTTCCTTTTCTTATTGTTTGTAGTTTGCCGTTGTTGTTGCTGTCGTTGTTGTTGGCAACTTGCTGAACAATTAATAAGTCAAATCGAAACGAAACGACTAATTGCATTTGCCAAAATGCCAATGAGGCATTGACATTGAGCGTACACCCTGTCCCCCCAGACCAAACCCAGACCCACCGTTCGTACTGTGGCACCCAACCCCGAGAAATGTATCGAGCGATCTTCAATCTTCACAGGGCTATCGAGCAGGTTTCTTTATTGCAAACGCCAGCAGAGTCGCGAGTCGCGTCGAGCAAGTCGAACCTAACGCAATTCATTCACATTAGGTTTGATGATATAGCCCAGTGAAAAGTTAGATAACAGATTCAGATAGTTCGCACCACTCATATAAATATATATCACACACATATATATATATATATATATATCGCGATTACTGGCAGCCCCGCGATGTCTGTCGAACTTAGCGAACTGATCGCACTCAGCTGCCCGGACTTGACTGCCCAACCGGACGGCAGTGGCCAGATCCAGTTGATGATCAATTCGGAGCGACGCCTGAGCATCAAACAAATGACGGCCACGGAGCTGGCCAATATGCGTGCCGCTGCTGCCGCCGAGGCCGAGGCACGGGCTCGTGCTGAAGCCGAGGCCAAGGCACGAGCTTTGGTTGAGCAGCAGGCGAGCCTGGCCGCTGAGGTGGTGGCTCAGGCGCGAGCTCGTGCCGCTCTTGAGGCTGAACAGCAGCTGCAGCGTGCCAGGGAGCAGCAGCAGCGTCGTCAAGAGGCAGATCAACAGAGACAGTCGGACGCCACGCCCAGCCCATCGCCCAAGGGCGTGCTGCCGTCCATTGAGGCGCCGCGCGATCGCATCACTTCACTGCCCAACATCCTGGATGATGCCATGGAAATGCATTTGCTGAACGCAGCCGATGGCGGCGGCGGCGGCAACTCAGACGACTCCTCGCCCACCAAGAGCACTTCGCACCTGGCCGACTCAATTGAGATGCTGCGAATGCAGCGGGCAGCTCGCGCGGCACGCTCCAAGAATCGCAGCCGAGAGCGGAGCATCTCGCCGGCGGCCGCACGTCTTCATGAGAGAAGCGCAGCACCCGACCGCCTGCACAGCTCCAGCATCAGCAGCATGGACTCGGCCCGCGCCAGTGGCAGCCGTCGCGGCAGCACGGCCAGCGCCATGAGCAGCGATCCGGCTGCGGAGCTGGCAGCGCCGCCCAAGTTTCCAATCTCCAAGACGGTTTCGGTACCGAACATGAGTCGTCGCCGGAGCAGCTTGACTGCACTTTTTCCGGGACCTTCGCCGTTGGTGGCGCCCGAACCGACGCTGCACACCAATCCTGAGGCGCCGCCGGAAACGGAGGCGCCCGGTCGGGGCGGCCAGGAGGATGGATATCGTGAAATACCCAGCGGCAAAATGGTGCATCGCACAAAGACTCCGCCGCCAGTAGGCGCCAACCTGGGCGTATGCCTCAAGCGGGTGACAGCGCCAAGCGGTTCGGTTACCATCAAACCCAAGGACTCGCCCATGCTGGGCGTGGTGCTGCGCAAGGTGGAGAAAAAGACGGTGCCCCAAAAGAGTGTGCTGGACGATGAGAAGCCGCTGTATCATCTCTCGATTGTGCGCAGCGATAACAAGGAATACAAACCGGCGCCCAAGCCAAAGCCCAAACCAGCGCCGCCGGCGGTGAAGCCATCGCCGGGTGGCATTCTGACCGGGCCACAGGTGGTGCGCACTGTTAACCGACCGGCGGCAGTGGCCAAGCCGCAGCGACCACAGCCTGGGGTGCCAGTGACCATAACGAAAATCGAGGGCGATAAGATAATAATAATCAAAAAGATAATTGTGCCGAAGAACAGTAAGATACCGGAGCAGTATCTGCAGGTTGGTTCTGTCTGTCTGGTGATCTGTTGTCTCGTTCTGCGTCTAGTGTCAGTGGGTGTCTCTCTCTCTCTTTATCGCTACCCAACCTCCTCCTTCTCGTCTCACACAGTCTCTCTCTCTCCGCTCTTTCTCTGTATCGAAATGTGTTTGAATTTGCCTCGATATTGCTGCTGCTATCGATATATTTATCGATTAACAAAACCATGCTCACACACACACACACATGAACACACGTTGTATTGAGCACCTGGCTCGGAACTAGTTCACATAATTAGCGTTAACTCCTTCCATTTAGTTCGCGCGCGCGTTTCTTCAGTTGTTTAAATGAGTCAAGATGCTGGCAAAGCCGTTGCCGTCAAATCAACCCAGTTGGAGGCACAGCCCCCAATGGGCGCCGCTGCCTGCCCCAGCGTCAACGCAGTGAAGCCCAGCGAAGAGGCATTCGTGTCGTCGTCGTCGTCGCCGTGTATCATGCAAAAGCCAACACCGCCGCCCGCGAGCGGCCAACAGTTCTTTCAGGTCGTGTCGCCGCAGTTCGCGTCGGTGCTCTCGTCCAGCTTGCCAGAGACCAAGTGTGCGGTGCGCTCGCCCATCTCATCGCCGCTGGCGCTGCGCAAGAATCGGCCGCTGCTGCCCGCCAGTCCGAAGTCGACGCCACCGCTGCCGCGCAAGCATCACACCATGGCCTATAATGCGGCCACGGGAGCCATCACGACACCCGCCCGCCCCATGGCCACCATAGCCAGCAGTCCAGTGTCCAGTATATCGCTGTCGTCGTGCAGCTCGCCGTCGTCGTCGCCGCCTCCGCCGCCGGTGCCGTGTCGTGCACCCAAGCAAAAGGCGAACACGAGCCAGGGCAAGGTTCCAGGCGAGATCGACTTGGATAAGCTGCTGCAGCAGCAACAACAGCTCGAGGAGAAGTCGGCGGCGGCCACCAGCAGCGCCAAGCTGGATGCCAATTTCTATGATGCCGAGATCGAAATGATGAACAAGTATTTGAAAAGTCTGCCCGACTACAGCGAGCTGGATCGCAAGCTGCATAAGGAGTTCCAGGAGTGCGAGGATCTCTATGACCGGCTCAAGCGCCAGCAGCAACAGCAGCCCCTAACCAAATCCAACTCGCATCAGTCTGTGGCGGCCAAAACTGCATTGCCAGTGGCTGCCGGAGGGCTATCGAAATCCTCCTCGATCAACTTCGCCAACAATCTGACCTCCAGTCGGGCACCTCGGCTGGCCTATCCCTCGATCTTCGCCCAGTCCAATGCCAGCGAACAGCCCAAGTTGCAGCGCAGCATATCCAGCTCCAACATGCCCCTGGGCACGCCCAGTTGCGGCCCGTTGCGCCCACAAGAAGCGCCAAAGAGCGGACTGCATAGCGACTCGAATCTGTCGCTCAACAAGCAGCTGATGAACGACTTCTGGAGCGAGAATCTTTGCAGTTCGAGCAAGCGTCAGACGCCGAAGCGAACGTTCTGGAACTATGAGAAGATCTGCGGTGCCCAGCTGGGCGATGCTGGGCAGCCCTTCAAGGTGGATGCCAAAACGGCCAAGAAGCTGGCCATATTTGATCCCACAGTTGCTGAGGCGGCGCAGAAGGAGCTGCAGAAGCAGCAGCCGATCCAGCAGCAACCGCAGCAGCAGCAGCAGCCACAGCCACATAGCCATCGCCTACAGAAGAACGCCTCGTTGTCGCACTTGGATCTCAAGGTCAGGCAGGCCGTGACCAAAGACGATCTCTACAAGCTCATTGTATGCAGCGAACAGTCGCCCACGTCAGCAGCGACTGCGTCGACGACAACGACGACGACGTCAACGCCTTTCACCAGTCGCGTGCCCGTCAAGCAGCAGCAGCAGCAGCCGTTGCCAGCTGCTCAACAGCTCAACAAGAGCGTCTCCATGACGCACGTTTCCGGCATTGCGACGGCAGCGACGCCGTTGCTGCGCAGCTCCAGTCGCACGCACATACCCTGCTACATGAAGCATCTGCCATCGCTCAGTCGCAGCACATCCAACTCGGCGATATTGCTGAGCACACCAGCCACAGCGGCAACAACTGGGACGACGCAGGCGCGCAAGGAGCCGCCTACAGTGAAGCAGCAGCAGCCACAGCCACAGCAGCAGCAGAAGCCAAATGCTGGCGTGCTGAAGAGCTCCAGCAGCTCTTGTGTGCCGTCACCACGTTGTGCCGCTGCGCTGTTTCGCCGGCCCACGGAGCCAGCAAAACAGACTGGCATTGGTGCTGCTGCGCCGTCGCCATTGACCACGCCCATTGCGGAGGCAACGAATGAGACGAGCGGCTCGCTGGAGCGCAAGTCGGAGAAGAGCAACAGCACTGTGAGCAGCAGCAGCTTCACTGTGACCAACTGCTGCACCACGCATCTGCCGCAGCTCTCAAAGTTCACCTCATCCTTTCACATACCCTCCACAGTTGAGCACAATGCCAACTTAGATCAGCCAGCAACAGCATCAGCTGTTGCAGCGCCAACAACAACATCAGCAGCAGCAGCACCGGCAGCAACAACATCTACAGCAGCAACGACATCGGCAGCGACAAAGCGTCAAAAAGACGTCGACAACAAGTTAGAGAAATGTCTAAATGACATGCTAAAGCTAAAGAGCAATAACAACAATGCAATTATGTCACAATCGCTGACAGCTGAACACAAAGAGGAAAGCAGCGCCGGCAGCAGCAGCAACAACGCCACCAAAATCGCCAGCGAATCGCAAATACCCGTGCCAGTGCAGCTGTACGATCCGCAGAAGCCGCTAATGCAGCAGCAGCAGCAGCAGAGGATGGCATATCCCATAGGCAAATCCAATTCTACGTCGCAGCTGCCGATGGGCTATCAGCGTCTACTGCAACAGCAACATCAGCCACAGCAACAACAGCAGCAACAGCAGCAGCAGCAACAACAGCAGCAACAGCAGCAGCAACAACAACAACATTATCCACAACAAAAGCGTCCATTTTTAAACTGGAACTCGTTTGCCTGCTCAGTCATGAACGGTAGCAGCGATCCCTTCCAGCAGCACCAACACCAACAGCAACATCAGCCACACAAGCTGCAGCAATCTTATTCCTCGTCGCATGTGGCCAAACAGGCGCCCAAGTCCAGCTCCGGCCTAGCCATGTTCCTGCAGAAAAACACCAACAAGGAGAACAAATTCGGGCAGCCCCAAGCGCAGCAGCAGCAACAGCAGCAGCCCCCATTGGGCATGGCGCCGCAGATGTATGGCAACAGTTATCAGGCACTCATCAATAATGCAAAGCCCGTTTATCCGCGGACCGGCGCTGCACCGCTGACCCATTCGGCGTCCTTCAGTGCGGCGCAGCGGCCCAGCATGATGCAGCCGCATAATTATGGCTACGGCATGATGAGTCGCAACTATTACAATCTGCCCAAGCAGCAGCAACAACAACTGCAGCAACAGCAGCAGCAGCAGCAGCAACCACATGAGCGTAAACCACTGCAAACCTTCGATCCGTATTCGTATCTCAAACCTAGTCAGAGCCAACTGATGCACCCGGTCAAGTACCAGGTGCAGTCCCAGCCTCAACCACATCCGCATACGCAGTATCTGAACGCTTCCGTTGGCACGTCTGGCGTCGGTGCTGGCGGTGCTGCGCTTCAATACGATCCAAATACAAATACGCAATTGTTTTATGCATCGGCGGGTATGCAACCACAGGCAGCGCAGCCACCGCACCATCAGCAGCAGCAGCAGCAACAACAGCAACAACAACATCAGCAGCCAATACAACAAAGCAATTCTGTCATATTCAGCCATACAAAACAACAACAACAACATCAACAACAGCAGCAGCAGCAACAAAATGAAATGTCCAAGTCCATTCTGGGCCAGCATTTCATCGAGGTAGATTCGTTGCCCAACTATTGCATTTGTTATTGTCTTGTGTCTTGTGTCTTGTTCTTGTTACTGTTATATGTTGCACACATCATGTGTCCATGCCTCCTGCTAGCAAACTAACACGTTCAGCATAACAAACGAACGCTCGGCGTGGCAGCGCTCAGCCTCCCGAAATAGAGAAGTGACTCATCCATGCTCCAAAGAGGCCAACCGCTTGCCCTTCAGCTACCTCTGCGCGCTCTCTCTGCTTGGGGCTGTGTGTGGGGAGGGCCAAGTGCACAATTTGTCGATTGTGACGCGTACTTCCTGTGCGAAGCTCGCTCTGCCTCGCTGCCCCCCCCTTGCCCACTCTCTGGTCGCCTTGTCGCAGCTGCTCTTTTGCGGCCTTTCGCATCAGAGTCTTGCACTTGCCTCGAACGGGCGACAACGTTGCACAATCAACAAAAGAGAAATAGAAAAATCTTAGCCGCAAAACCGAAATTCAATGTCAATTTTGTGGTTCGCTAAAAATAGCAATACACTTAATTTATGTTGTTTATTTAGTGCAAAAACAAAAAGAAGGGGGAAAAAACATTTAAGACTGATTCAATTTTAAATTTCCAAAAACAAAAACAAAACTAATAATCTAATGTTCGTATTTTGTTTAAATATTGCCAAACTTCTATTTATAATTTAAATATATGTAATTCGGGGCCCCAAACAAACCTCACACGAAATGCCAAACAATCGGCCACAGAAATGCCTGCCTTGCCTCTAAACTATGTAACAGCCCCGGCCACAATGAGGCAGACATAAAAACATGCTTATAGCAAACTTTCTGCTGTATTCTCTTCGTCTCTGAACAGCCAAAGACCCACAACGAAGACTGATTACCCTTATGCTCAGCCCAAGCAGAACAATTTCTCTTTTAGTTCGCTCTTGCTGATGTTCCTAATGGGTTCAAAGATATGATATTATTGATGGCTCAATAAGAGTGAATATCTGAACAAATATATTAGTTAGAAATCAACATAAATTTGACAGAAAAAAAAGAAAACATTTGTAATAATATATGACACAGCATAATACAGATAACCCCTTTCAATCTTGGAATTTTTTTACGAATTTTTATCTCGATTCTCTATGTAAGAAAAAAAAGAAATTTTTAATAATAATCAGTGCATTTTTTGAGAAAATGAGTAATACTTTCACAGGCTGTTATCATTTTGGATCTCAAATCCCAAAACCGCTCAACAAAATATAGTCTCTAAACTATTTAATAATAATTCGAATAGGTATTTCCTTAAATTTGTTAACTTACTAGTTCATTCAGTTAACAATTGCATTAAGAGAATGTTTTTGCTTGTAGTTTTTGGCTTTAGACCTTCGTTCTATATATTATCTCTAGTTTTGGCATAGAGTATTCCTCTGCGGTTTTAAGCCAATTGACGTTCGCTTTGGCGTCTGCTTGTGGTTAGTTTTTTTTTTTTTCGCTACCTAGCCAAACAATAATAGAAACTGGCGGCAGAGGAGGCAGCAGTAGCAGCAGCAGCAGCAGCTCTCCCGCAGTGGCCACAAGCGCGAACGCCCGGTTCAGAGATCGAAACGGAGCGTGTTCTATGTTCCGCCCTGAGCACATACTCGGCAGCTACTTTGGCGCTGTCGTCGTAGCGATATTTTTCAATTTTTATAATTAGTATTTGTGGCGTGCGCTTTCGTAAATGTTGCGCTGATTTCGGATTGTTTTTTGTTTGCTATTTCTTCTTGAGAACGCAAAGACGCGCTGCTTGAAAAATAAAAAATTTCAAAATTATTAAATAAAAGTCGACGAAACGCGAAAAGTTCGAATGGCTGCAAGTGCATGTAAATCAGGACATCAATTTGCAATATGCAAAAAATAAAACGAAATTCGAAAGTGGAAATTAAATTTGGAATCGGAATCGGAATAGCTCTTGAAATTGTCGCTGCTTCTGTTGTGTGTCTATTTCTGTCGAATAGCTGCCAAATATCGTACAATTTCAATTATTCTTACAACACATGAAAATACGCTCTTTATTTTGTAAATACGTATATTCTATTATACTATACTTAACTTATATGCATACAGTACAATGCAAATGCTCGCCCCGTCGAGTAAATGCCAAAAACAAATCTAGCTATAGCACGAAAACAGAAAACAGACAACAGAAGTCGAAAATTTATTCATTAGATAGTCCGACTCAGAGGAGGAATCTCAACTATTAGCCAGTCAATCCGCTTTCCAGTCTGATTCTTTCCCCTCATTCTCATATGGATCTTCGCGCATATTATTAATACTATCGGATTTTCGTCAGAGCGAAAAGGAAGAAGAAGAGTAGACGGAAGCCCACGCACGAAAAGAAAAAAAAAAATGGCTACATTTTTAAGTCGTTTTCATCGGGAAAAAAGTGAAAAGATTTTGCCAAATGCTGTGAATAGCGCAAACAGCGGTGGCAAGAAAACAGCTGACATGGAGGCGGCGACGCCAACTGAGGCAGAAGCAGCAGCATCAGCAGCCACAGCAACTGCGGCAGCGGCAGCGCAGCCGCGTCCACAGCGACGCTACATGCGCAGCGCAACGGCGGCGAGCGTAACGCAGCTGCTCTCTGAAAGCTGCAACAGTTTGCTGCAGCGCTTTCGACGCAATCCGAGCGAACGACCTGATAACAAACTGCAGCAGCAGCAACAACAACAACAACAACAACAGCAGCAGCAGCAGCGCAATCGGTAATCGATGCAAAAGAAATGAAGCGACAGAACTGCACAAACACACACACGCACACAAACACACACACATGCACACTCACACGTATAAATTATTTTTAATTTTGCGGTGATTTTTTTGTTGTTTTTGTTTTGTCAAACAACAAAAACTCGGTCAAAATGTTGCCAGACGCGCGTCGCAGCTCTCATCATTTATTTTATTTTCATTTGATTTCTTGTTGTTTGTTATTTTTGGTTCAGCGTTAATTTAAGTATGTAATTTGCCCCATTGCCGTTAGCTGCAGTTAGTTGCAGCGCAGCAGCGCGCTGCTTCGTTTCACGACGCGTTCTACTCTTTAGCTTTAAGAGGGGCCAATTATGTAAACATCGTGTCGAGTGCGTTGTAAATCGCGTGTTGAACTCATCGGCCGCGCTGCTCCGCCTCCCATTGGCCGTGCTTGTGTCTGTGTGTAAAAGTGTGAAAATTGATTGTGGAAAATTGTCATGAAATTGATTCAATTAGAGACTGGAGTTGTTGTTACCCCCCAGACTGACCACGCCAAGAGAGCAAACGAATGAGAGAGTTGAGTGTAAACTTTGTGCTGTGGACAGGCATTCAATTGAACTGCAATCATTTACATAAGAATAATCATACATCTGAGAACGTGAACTTCATGCAAATGACAGTTTTTAATGGTTTCTAGGCCGTTTAACTAGCCCAATGACATCTATACTAGATGTAATCCCCATACACCTCAAGTATATACGCACTTATCTTTACATATTTTTGATTAATAGCTGGCTAATTAAAAGTTTTAATTCAAAAGTTTCAATTTTCAAAATGCAGGCATATTCGAAAAGCTTTTTCAGTCATTGAGCTTTCAAGTTCGAAATTGCGTCTCCGTATCTTTCTCACTCGTTGAGTGGCTGAATGGTTCGCCTATCTGGCAACTCTTTGCAATTCTTCCTACTCTTGTTCTTTGCTGAGAGAGATCGACGCCATTGTCTTTCGCTCGCTCTCTTTCTCTCTCCCGCTGTTGTCTGTAATGCATTTACTCTTCAATCATATATTTTTATTACGCGCCTTTGGAATACACATAAAACGTAATTGTTTTGTCGTCTCAGCTTTATTTAGTCTTGATTTTTATTTATTTTTTTGCTGATGCGAGAGTTCAAGGCTTTTCCTCCAAGCATTCGCACCGCAAGACTTTCGATCGTTTCCTTGTTTCGCAAAAAGACGGAAATGTAAAGCTCTGCGATCCATTCAGCAGTAATTAAATGCATTTTCTGTAGAAGCAGGCAACAGATTAATTCATCCATCCACCCACCCACCCACTCATACAGACAGACGTTTACTCTCACTCTCTCTCTCTCTCTCTCTCTCACTGTCATTTCGACTCTCTCGCACAGCTGCTCCGGCTGATGCTGGGCAAGTGCGCAATATTTTCACACTTTTTCACAAAAATAAAAACGATTCCTCAATATTTTTTGGTAGACGCGCGGTGTATTTTCCCCCCAAATATTTCCCATACATCCACAGTGCGTCCGTCGCATGAGTTTCGATCGAATTTTCAGCTTTTCTCAGTTATTATTTGGTCCGTGTCGTGGCAACGCGCGTTCGTCGCGATTCAGGCGCGTGGAAAATACCAAAATACCAAATATATACAACACAAAATCGACACCAAATTGAATAGAAAAGGGAAAGCTTTAAGTGCGTCATTAGCAATTCTTGTTTTGTTTTGGGCTTTTATAGTGCAGCGGCCATACCCGAGGATAACATCAATAGCACCAGCAATAACAATAACAATAAGGAAAGCAACGAAAACAGACGCAGTGGCTCCAAGACCCCAACGAATGAAAACTACAATAACAATAACAGCAACAGTAATAATAGGAACAACAAAAACAAAGACAAAGGCAATCTCACAAAACAGAAACGTCGCCGCAGCTCGGAGAAATCTACGAGCGGTCGTAGACGCCCGGAAGCGGAACGTGATAGGGATAGGGATCGGGAACGTGAAAGGGAACGGGAACAGAACGCCATGAGCGATCGCCACAGACGTTACTATGCCGGAGGTGGCCTCGGCTATCATCCGATTAGCTCCACCAGTGGGAGCACCACCAACGCCATCATGGGTCGCTATCAGAAGAGCTCAACGACGGCCACTGCGCTGGACCGGCTGCGCACCCATCTGAGTCCCGTGGGCAGTAGCTATAACTATAAGCCCGCAATACGAGGATTAGGCACCGGCTTAAGGCGCGACCTGGACGATGTTAGTATGATAAAGGCGTGCTGTGTGAATACCAATGGATGAGAGCGTAGCGTGTTATCTGATCGTGGCCAAATTCATCCCGTGACTCACTGTCAGAGCATTCGCCTTCTCTCTCTAGTCTTTTACTGTTTGGAAAACACTTGAAACTTAGTTGGCCCATTTTCACCTGTCATCGTGAGTCACAGCAGCAGCAGAGTCAAGTCGCTGTCCCAATTCTGTCAGAGCTTGAGTGGCACGAGGCGGGTTGAAGGTTGCAGGTTGGAGGCGATTGCATACACAACGATTGCATTGGCAACCCCTATTGCCACATCATATTTTAATAGACACTAATACGTATATTATATATAGCAGGTGTATATAGCAACTAATATGTATCTGCTCTGATTGTGCTCTCAGATATACGTACGTATAGATGAATATGTATATTTAGTGTGCCCACACGAAATGTTTTATAGCGCTTCTATATGCTTCTCAAAATCTTCCTACTTGCCGTGTGCGTTTATTTTCGATTCCAAGCAAATGTCCATGGCTCCTCGTCTCGCCCCGCTCCTGTGTGTGTCGCCTGTGTCTCTTTCGACTCTCGGCTCTCGACTCTCTGGCTGGCATTAAATGTATAAAAAGCTATTCACAATTTCACGATTCTGGCATTTCGGTACAAATATATATATAAACTCTGAAGGTCGGCGTGCCGTGGATATTTTGTTTAGATTTTCGCTAGGCGTTCTAAATAAAATAGACGCCCCACACCCTCCCTTCCTCCCTCCTCCGTCTGCGTGCGCGTCTTTTCGCAGCGCTAGAGAGAAAGCTGCTGGATAGACGCAGACGCTGCAAAATGCGAATGAAATAATATGATGTGAAATTAAGTGGCCCAAACACTGTTATTAGCCACTGCCGAAAAGGCCACTTAGATCGGTCGGCGAATGGCGAATGCTAGGTCTAGGTCTAACTGCGTTTAGCTCAGCCGGAGCGTGAACGAAGAACGCGTCGTTTCCATTGGTTTCACACGAGCGCTGCTTAAAAGCACTTTCCTTATACATTATGAACTCCTCCCCAATTTGACTGGTTTCTCTTCTTGGGACGCACAGCGTCGCGATCTGCACTTGGACAGAGACAAGACGCCCACATTGTCAGCCGTTTCACGGCTGGAGAATAAGTATTCGGACATTTTGGAGCGCACAGCGGCCGGGCGACGCCGTCATGAGGAGGATCGCGACAAGACGCTCGAGCCGGATGACTATGGTGGCTATTCAAGTGGGCTATTGCGCAGCGCTACCTCACATCAGCTGGCGGGCAAAGGGAAGCTGTCATCGAGCTCCTTTAACGCCGCCGATCGCAAGGAGCGCACTCCCTACAGAATGCGTACTCAGAGGCAGCGCTACATGGCCGACTCCAGTGACAGTGGCTACCTGACCAGCGGGAATAGATTGCTGGACGAGAACTATCCGGTGGACTATGGCCACAATCGCTATCAGCCGCAGGACTATCATGAAGCACTGCGTGCTGGCGGCGCCACCGGACACTCAACTGGTCGCTATGGTCGGCGGGGTGGCGAGGAGGACACTGCGCTCACCTCGGGTCGCCTGTCACGAGCCTATGGACCGAAGAACGAACTGCCGGCCTCAGACAGCAGTCATGCGGATGATTGGAGCTCTCGCACTCGATTTGCCAATCGCCGCAGAGAGGCAGCTCCGCAGCCAGAACTAACTGCCGAAGATCGTGAGATTCTGGCCGATGATCGTTCCTCGGAAGACAATGCGGCCATTCTGATGCTGCTGCGCGAGGACAACCAGTTCCTGGAGGCCAAGAAGTTCGAGGAACGCATGCGCAGGCGACGTGAGCTTAAGGAGCGCGTCAAGCGCATGGAAGAAGCAGCCGCAGAGGCTAAGAAGACTGAAGCAGCCGCAGCAGCAGCAGCTGTGGCACAAGTCGAGGCAATGGAACGGCAGGCAGCCAAGGAAGCAGCAGCAGCAGCAGCGGCAGCAGCGGCAGCGGCAGCGGCGTCTTCTGCGGCAGCACCGGCGGTGGATGCGCCCAAGAAAAAGTCGCGCAGCAAAAAAGTAACTAACGTTGATAGCGATTCAAGCAGCTCTTGCTCGTCAGAGAGTAGCTCTGACGAGGGCGTTAGCGAGACCGACTGTCCAACTGGTGTCCAACTAACCCACACAGCTGACACAGCACAGAAAACGAAAAGCACCACAGACAAGGCCAAAACACCCACCAATGCTGTCAATGGTGCCACAGTTCCATCCGCAACACCAACAACAACCAGTAATAATAACAACACGAACTCGAACTCATCCACTACTACTACCAACAACAACAACACCATCCCCTCTGCTCTCTCTAACCTCTCTCTGCACGACACGGCAGCGACAGCCAGCGGCAGCGGCAGCAGCAGCAGCAGCGCCAACAACAAAAGTCGTTTTCTGCTCCACTCAGATCGCAACAACAACAACAACAGCAGCAGCAGCAGCAACGACCTGTCCAAATATAAGCCCAGCAATATCCTGCACTCATCCAGTTCCGGTGCGCTGGCTTTCGGCGGGATTGGCGCTCGCTTTGCAGCAGCGGACTCCCGCCGGCAGCAGCAGCGCTATCAGGGCGCCAGCTCCCGCACAGCAGCTGTGCTGAACGACTTTGAGCGCTACAAGCCCAGCAGCGGATCGAGCTATCTGCACGAGGGCTACGGCATCAGTGGGCGGCGCTCGAATGCGCTGGGCAGTTCGCTGTACCAGCGACCGCAACTGGATCCCTACCAGCAGCAGGCGGCGTCGTCGGCGTCGTCCTCGTCGCACTATCTGCACCAGCACGATCAGTATCTGCTGTCAAAGAGCGCAACGTCGTCGGCGCTGTTCCATAGGTCACGCATTCCAAAGACACTCTCGACCTTTGTAAGCCACTCGATGCATTTCTCTATGCAGCTTGAGCTTTCTGCCAAACGCCAAACCGCCACCCGCAACTCACTCCACACTTTACAGTACTGCTAACTAACAGCGCGCGCCATGTTAACTAACCGCCGTTTGTTACGCGTTCTCTCTGCATGTAAGAAAACTTGATCAGAATCCTACTTTCTTCCCTATTTATATTCAATATTAATAATTAAAAGGCTTCATCTTTCTTTTACCAAACAAACCAAGAAAAAAAAATGAAAAAGAATTTCAATACATTTATATCTAAAAATAATTTCCAAGTAATAGTAATTGTTTAGCTAAATATTTGAAAAGACAACAACAATTTATAGCCGTAAGCGAATGCAATTTGTTTTTGCCCATGCGTTTTATGGTTCGTTTCATATCTATATATATTTTGTTTCATTAATATTTTTACTGCCCCGTATTTACATATATGTATACATGCATATATATGTGTATATATATACAAAAATGTTAAATGATATTTGTTGTATATGTTTTATATTGCAAAAAAAAAAAAAAAAAAAAAAAATTAACCATTTATGTAAAACAAAAAATCTCTCAACAAAAACAAATTTGTCCGAACTAATTTTCTTATCGAACAAACGAAACGTATTTTTCTCGTGTTTTTTCTGAATATGATGATGAAAATCACAATGATGATGATGATGATGATGATGATGGGTTGATGTACAAACAACTTGATGATGATGATGATGAATTGATGTAAATGGTTGGTTTATGGATTGTGAATTGGTGAAATGATGAAAATTTGGATTTGGATCTGGATTTGTGCTGTGGTGCCAACGTGGGCTCGGATCGGGATCATCTGGCTGGATTCAAAATTGATATGATGACCATCCTCTCCTTGACGGGATATCTGGATGATGCTGGCGGCCCACCAATGAAATGTGTCTCTTTTTTTCTTTTTTCTCTTTCTTTTTTTGTTTCTTTTCTCTCTATTTCAAATTACATACTCTAACCACACACGCACCTTATGTATTCGTCTCTCTAACTGCCATCGACTGCAACTACAACAACGTCTCGCCGCAACCCACTACCAAATACGCTCAAACATAACTCGCTTAATATTCGTCGTCGTCGCCGCCGCCGTCGTCCTCGTCCTCGTCGTCGTTTTGCCCCTCTTCTGAATCAACGGATCAATGCACCTTGCAATCGCACCATCAACGCCATCGCCAACAACAACTGCAACACCACCAACACCACCACCACCAACCACGCGTCGAATGCTCGCCCTCTCCAATAACAGACAGCAAAGCCCGTCATTCAAGATGATGCTGATGGTCACTTAATATACCACAACGGAGACATTCTCCATCACAGATGTTCGTGACAATTTTTTCGTTTTTAATTTTTCCATATGTTTATGTTTAGAGTTTACCACAGACTTTCCAACTTTTTATTTTTCTTTTTTTTTTAATTTTCATTTCAAAGACAATGAGCAAAACTGCCTTCTGCCGCACAGTAATTCTTCTACTCGTAACTCGTACAGTTTTCAACTATCCAAGTTTTCTTTATTATTTCTTAATTATCTTACGACAAAATCGTCGCGGCGCAAGACTTCGCGTGCGTCGCCGCCGTTCCAAAGGCATATTTACTATAAAAAAAAAGCGCTAAAACAAAAAACAAAAGAAAATTAAAAACCAAAATTAAAAGAAACCATTTTCACACAATTTTTGCCATGTTTTTCCGAAAGACAGAAACAAAGAGAAAAAATTTCAATTTAAAGTTCAACTGAAATTAAACTATACCAAATTTTGACTTTTACCGGTCGTAATCAAATTGAAATCTCACACATACTCTCACACAGACACAGACACATAGATTCGTACATTACCTGAACTTTCAGCGCATAATTAACGAAATAATATTGAAACTGAAAACTTTTCCGTGTACAAATTGTTCAAAGCAGCAGCTCGAGCATACTTTGTGGTCTTTTTGCTTAAATCCGAAAGATGCCCAGTTACAGGTTTAGATTTTAGCGTAAATGACTAACAATTTATAATTGGTGTAATTGACCGTATGACATTGACTACAATACGCCTCCTTTTGCCACATTTCAGATAAGATCATGGCCACACTGGGCGAGGGCACTTTCGGACGTGTGGTCAAGGTCAAAGACATGGAACGGTAAGTACAATGAAATACCGAAAAATTTTATGATCTATATATAAATGCAAATAATAATAAAATTGTTCGCAAATACCCATTCGATTCACAGTGATTTTTGCATGGCCTTGAAGATCATCAAGAATGTTGAAAAATATCGCGAGGCAGCCAAACTGGAGATCAATGCCTTGGAGAAGATAGCACAAAAAGATCCGCATGGTGAACAGTAAGTTGGCCATTAATACAAATACATATATATCAAAGAAATCATTTGTATAAATGTCTAATCGTTTATTTGTCTTGCAGTCTGTGCGTGAAAATGATTGACTGGTTTGACTATCATGGACATATGTGCATAGTTTTTGAAATGCTGGGTCTCAGTGTTTTCGATTTTTTGGTCAGTATTTCAAAAGCCTCGTAGGTCGATAACCCGTATCTAATATTCTGTTTTGATTGCAGCGCGAGAATAACTATGAGCCATATTCTCTGGACCAAGTGCGTCACATGGCTTATCAATTATGCTACTCAGTTAAGTTTCTGCACGACAATCGTTTAACGCACACAGATCTCAAGCCGGAGAATATACTGTTTGTCGATTCGGATTACACATCTCACTATAATCATAAACTTGTATGTATTGAAATATTGTCAGATTATTTATTGTCGTATTTAACACCTTGTTGCTCTTTCCTATAGAATCGGGAAGTGCGTCGCGTCAAGAACACAGACGTGCGTCTAATTGATTTCGGTTCGGCCACCTTTGATCATGAGCATCATAGCACAATTGTCTCGACGCGCCATTATCGTGCGCCGGAGGTGATATTGGAGCTTGGTTGGTCACAGCCTTGCGATGTTTGGTCTATCGGGTGAGTTGTTAGCTATATTACTATTACTATGTCAACATTTTTCTAATTTCCTCACATCATTTCGCTTTCAGTTGCATTCTGTTTGAGCTGTATTTGGGCATTACGCTGTTCCAGACGCATGACAACCGCGAGCATCTTGCCATGATGGAGCGTATCTTGGGACAAATTCCATATCGCATGGCACGGTAATACAATGCAGCTCATGCTTTTATTTCCCAAGGCGCAGTACTCTTCACCGAAACCATTTAACGTTTAGCAATCACACTCTTTATAGCAAAACCAAAACAAAGTACTTCTATCATGGTAAGTTAGATTGGGATGAGAAGTCCAGCGCGGGACGTTATGTGCGGGATCATTGCAAGCCCCTGTTCCTTTGCCAACTGAGTGACAGCGAGGACCACTGCGAGCTGTTCAACTTGATCAAGAAGATGCTGGAATACGAGCCCTCGTCGCGCATCACGTTAGGTAAGTTCATCAAATACATATATATATTCGAGTCTGGTTCTAATTCGCAATATTTACAGGTGAGGCTCTGCGACATCCGTTCTTTGATAGGTTACCACCGCATCAGCGCCTTGGCGAAATGAGCATCAATAAGCAGCCACTCTCGTCCGGCAGTAGCAGCCGCGAGCGCTCTCACAGTCTGTCCAGATGAGAATTACAGCGATTTGGTTATTGTTGACAACAGCGACGACGACATCAACGTTATTCAACACACACAACTACAAACATGCGTACACACACAGTGCGAAGAGTCTTCAATCAACGTAATGCAACACATGATTGAGCAGCAGACAAGCGGCAGCAACAATAGTAACAATTATAACTACAATAATATTAATATACTAACGGCGATCCGTAATTTAAGTTCTAAAGTCTTATTTAGAAATTTTGTAACTTGACTTGTATAGAAGGACATTTCTACACAAAAATAACCCAGAATTGTTAAGTATATATGTGTGCATGCCGCACGCTCTGCTCAATTTGATCCTGTGCATTGTCTCATCCCAGCCGCCAATCGTGTTTTGTTTTGTAATGATAACCAAATCGTGCATAATATATTTATAGTGCGTCCTCCTAGCCCGATACCGACGCCGCCAAACCCAAATACCTAAATGTAAATGCACACAGAAATGTGCATACTCTTCACTTGAGATAGATAAAGAGACCTCCCCCAACACGACTGCATTGCTTAAAGAAAACTAAACTACAAATGTAAATGTACTATATAAGAAATCAATCGATAAAGCGCTAGTTGAAATGCAAATCCATGCGCAAGCTGTCAATTGCCATGGACTTGCTTCTAATCTGTAATTAATCTATTATTTTTCGAGTGCGTGAGTTGTAAGCTAATGCAAGTCTTTACACATGCATAGCTAGCCCCACATGTAAGCTTGTATGTGTATGGCAATATCATATGTAAAGATCGATTCGTATGACACCTCGCCCCGGAGGGTGCCACAAGCAACAAAAAAAAAAAAAACAAACGCTGCATTGTTTGCAATTCTTTGTATAAATTACTTAGTAGCCAGAGTCATTTTCTCCTAGGTTATGTTTAATGTGTAGAATCGGCGCTGTTCACATATTTTTCCATCAAAGTACGCCCAAACAATACCAATACGATATACACAGACACACACACACACATACACATTTATATATATTTATATGGAAAAAGAAAGAGCAAGAACACTAGAAAGTGGGGAATGCATGAAGTATATAGACACATATACTAAACATACTTAATTCAAATGATTGTGAGTTAGTTTAATATTACATAAATATTATTTTTAAATTACATTATTTGCAATTAATTAACCCCATCAACCAGCATATAAGATAAACAAAACAAAAAAATACAACTATTATTGTCAAGTTATTTAAAGTGAAATAAATTTTTAAAAATAATTTACTTGTATTTATTTCTCATTTCAGAGCTAGAAAAATTGTTCAAACCCAATTGTTATTCCCAAAAGTATATTGACCGATTATTTGGAGCGGTTCTTGTGATTTGATAAGCAAAGGGGATTGTGCAACGATCTATTGCCAAGATAATTGCAAAATATGAGCTGATAGGAGTAAATTGATAGGGTAAAGTTTTTTTGATTTGTAACAAAAACAAACAAGGTTCGATCGCTGGGGTCACCAATTTTTTATAAAAATTGAGCTGAGATGACAGGCGCACAGAATTTCTAGCGGAGCTGATAATTTCATTCACTGAAATTTTTTAAACCGACTTCCGCATATTACTCAGCGACTGTGAATTTATAAAATCTGTAAATATATGTGGTTATATAGGGGTATATAAATTACACATACATATATCGTCATAAATATTATTTTACACTGCGTTTTTTTTAGCTACCTTCAATGTTGGCTGCAGCTCATGTGCAAAGAATTAAAAATATTGCATTATAGTGTTTATGATGATCATCCAGACAGATGGAGTGTTCTCAGGTCCTAGCCTATTTTACCAATGGTACCTCTCAATTATCAGGAATTTCATTTATAGCTGTAAGATCAATAATTGCAAAGTGTTTTCAATATTTTCGGGAATATTTTAGCATTTATTTGTTCATTTTAGTGGATTTTCGCTACGTGTTTAAATGTCAATTTGTTTTTTCTTGTTTCTTGTGTTTGTTTTCTAGAATTTTACAATTAGTTTCAACTAAATAAATAATAACAATTTATAAATATAATTCTCTTTTTTTTTTTTTTTCCTTTTTTGTTCTCTAAGTTGCTAGCTGTGTGCTTCGAGTGATGTTTGCTTGCTTCAACTTAAATATTTCCATTGATATTTCCCATTCAATAAGTATCTCGGAGTTAGAAATAGTATCAGTTATATGCTTTTGATTACAATGTTTCTTCTGCAAGAATTTGATGAATTAGGCAAAAAAGAAAACAATAAACACATCGAAATGTGCATTAATTGGCTGCATTAGAACTTAATGGCTAAAATTCGGCTTATGCTAGCTAAATATATAAAAATAAAAGTTAAGTCTAAAGATTGCAACGAAAACAAAAAACCTATGCAAACTATGGTTTATACGCAATAAATAAATATGTACCTAAACATTTACAATCTGTTCAATAAAATGACAATAATAGGTATGTTCGTCTGATCCATCTATATTATAGTATATACACATTTAAAAAAAAACAACTGAGTTTAGCGTAAGCAAACGAAAACTATTCCTTGCTTATTGTTCAACCATTCTCTCTATCTCTCTCGCTCTCTTTCTCTAAGTTTCCTTCGTCCGTTTTGTAACTTCGTTTCCGTTAACATTTTAATATTGTTTTATTGTCTATTTCAAAGATGTGGCAACGCCGCACAGGCGCAACTAAGCAGAGTCGTAATTCGATAGAAAATTATAGACAGTTTGGGGCTGACATCTAACTACACATACGTATATATGAATATATATCTATATATAGTATATATCTATCTGAATATATACTGTTGATAGTTGCTTCTACTTATGGCCAATGACGAGCGTATAGTTTGCTGTGGTGACTGTCGACGGCAACGCCGACAGCGCTGGTCATTTGGCCAGCTTCAGGATCTCCGGACTTGCTCCAGCTGCTGCTGTCGGTACACCCGTTGGAGCCGGCGGAGCGGGCGCTATGCGTATGGGCTTGGCACGCTGCTGACTGAAGAGGCCGCTCAGTGTGGCCGCTGTGCTTGCGGTCAGCGTCACGCTTGCACCCCCAATGCTCGTCTGTCCAGTCGGCATTCCTGCACCTGTGCGCTTGCCTCGCACCACTCCATTGCTAGTGCTGTTCGTGGATGTGGGATGCTGCGGCTGCTGTGGCTGTTGCAGCTGCTGGCCAATTACTGCGGATGCTGGCGTGGATGTTGCGGTTGCCGAGGCTGAAATGTTATCCAACTCAGTCATTGCTTCTTGTATTGCCCGCTCGAGTTGCGAGTTCAGTTTGCGGCTCCTTTGTGGGTTGGTTGGTTGGTTGGTGGGTTGGTACATGGTTTTTGGTTGTGGTGTGTGCGCGTTCGTGTGTGTGTGGTGTGGAAAGGTTTTTGGTTGGAGATTGGGGTTCGAGTTGATAGTGACCATGACGATGATGATGATGTTGCACACATAGGGTTATACACACACATATGCATACGCATACACACGTATTTGGTTTTTATTTTCAGCGCATAATAAAAAAAAAAAAAAGGAAACAAGAATATTAATTAGCAAAAATAAAATGAAAATGTACAAACTAAAAGTAAATTCGAAACTAATTTCAAATTGCATTCATATGCCAATCAGTACTACACTGCAATTCAAATACAAATACAAATACAAATACTAATACTAATACGAATACGAATTATATTCAAAACTATTGCAAACGAATATCTAAATACAAACGAAATTCATAATGCAATTACTTAATATAGTAATATTTATAACTTCCTACGGTACTGGCTCGAATATTGTAGTTATTTATCAAATTCTTTTATAAATAATATTTCCAAGATCATTTCATTATCTATTTAATGAAAATATTTCTTGAATCGAACCAACACTGCAGATGAAGTTCGATCAAAATATATATTGTACATATTTATATGCAACATAATAAAAATGATGTATAAAACTAAGAAATATGTAGAATTTAGGCTTAAACGACATGACTAATCTATATACTTTCTACATAAACAGCTTTAGGAAAAGGAACTAATGAAGCTTCTTTCTTATGGTGCTGTCTGGTGCAGGGATCTAAAACAAAAGTTCAACTCAATGTAGCTCTTATAGCATACTTGAAGCCCCATCGAACCCTGGCAAAACCTCTCTCAGTGACTCTCTGGTGGCATATGCATGCGCATCCGCCCACTTCGCCTAGTGATGCTCACTTTCTGGTATCCTTTTGCGCCTTGTGGTGCGCCTCCAAGCCCTCGGAAAGGCTCTGCAATAGGTTGACCGGGATTAGCTCGGAGGTGGATCGGCCGCCGCCGCCGAACCACTGCACCCACACGTGGTCGAATTGTTGCGACGGTGTGCAGACACCGTCGGGCATCTTGACTATCTTGCCGGGCCAGGCGGGATGCCCACGCGCCGGCCCCCAAATCAGCTCACCAATGGCGAATGTTCGCGGTGGCAACAGAGCCACACCATTTGGCGAATTTCTGGCCAGTGTGCGGTGGAGTCGGCGTGCCCGTTTCGTGGGTGTGCGGCAGTTGGCTTTGGGTGGTGCAGCTTCACTGGGCGCTGGTGCATCCGAAATGGGCGGCAGCTGCGTGGTTGTGGGCGACTCTACATATACAGATTTGGAGCAAGCAGCGGCTTGGTTAATGTGGCCGAGACTCAATACCCAAAACCAGATACCCGACGTTTATAGGTAGACAAAGCGGAAAAAACAGAAAACAAAAGCGAAGTGTGGAGAGTGGCGGGTGCGAGGGGTGCGACAAGTGCGTGGCATGCAACAGGTGTGTGAGTGAGCGGTGTTTGGTGATTGGTGGATCAGTCAGTTAGTGAATGGATGCAGTTAGTGGTTGCTGTGGTGCATTAGGACACTGGCAAAGCCTTACCCTGGTAGTCAACGCTAACTACTTTGTGATTATGGACATAGACGCTTTGATGGCTATTGGAGGTTAGGGGCTGTTGGTGATGTTGGTGGTGTTGGTGGTGCATGACTTGGCGACCCGATGCCGCTGTGGTTATTGATGGCGTTGACATTGTTGCCGACGCTAACGATGACGATGATGATGAGATGGACAGGGATGTGGTGCTAGTCAGTCGCATACCTTGGCCCATAAGTCCCACAGTGTGGTTGCTCTCCGTCGACGCCTGCTGCTGCGACGTGATGTGAATGCGCCGAATCTTTGCATCCGTTGGCTTATAGATGCTGCTGGGCTGGCTAAACAAGTTGCTGCTGCAGATGGCTGTGAGGAGGATAGGGAATTGGATCAGTAAGCCGGCACAGTTATAGTTATATCTAAGGTAGTTACTCCGCTCACAATCCGTCGATGAGGGCGACTGCCGACTCTCAGCGCTCTGGGGCGAAATAGCCGCATCCGGCTCCGAGCTAGAGACGCACTGCACCTGCAAGACAGAGTTATCGAGTTCATTAATAGCAATGCAAGTGCTGTAGGCAGTGTCAACGGACCATGTCGCCGCTGCCGCTGCTCCGGTGGCTGGGCGGTCGCTCAGGGCTGCGCGGGCTGCACGTGGTGGTGTCCGGCGGACTGGCGGCAGTCACTTGCCGATTGCTGTGTGGATCCGTTACGTAGCCAGTCGTCTGCGGTGGCTGCAGGCTGATCTGATGCTGATGCTGCTGCTGCTGCTGCTGCTGTGGTGGTGCCTGCTGCGGCTGCGGCTGCTGCTGAATCTGTATGGTGGCCGTGGGACTGGCCTGCACAAAGGAGGCGCCGCTTTGCTGACCCGTTGGCATGACCAGGCCCATGGGCGTCGAATAGATCTGGCCAATGGGACTCAGCTGCCCATTGGCGCCCACAATATACTGCTGGCCACCGGTGCTGGGCGAGATGAAGGAGGGCTTGTTCTGTGGCGAGGGCGTGCGCAGCATCACCTGCCCCTGATGGGTGAGCAGACTCGTCGTGGGCATGTTTTGTATCTGCAGCAAAGTGGCGTCCGGACCCATGACCAGGCCCGCTGGCATAAGCAGCTGCTGACCAATGAGATTCACCTGCTGCAGAATCTGACCATTCTGGAGCAGCAGCTGCTGTGGCTGAGCTGCAGCCGTCGCCGGTTTGTTGACCACAATGCCCTGAATGCCCGGACTCAGCTGGAATTGCTGCGAGAACTGCGCAGGAGCTGCGGGCGCTGCCACTGCAGCGGCATTGGCCGCTTGCTGCAGCAGAGCTGGCGCCTGGCTGGGTATGCTGGGCGAGATCTGGGGCGAGTGCGTCTTCGCCGGCGAGCCACCCACGCCACAGACCAAAGGCGGCGGCGGTGTGCTGCAGACAGAGGTCTTGCGCTTGCGTGGCCGCCGCTTGGCCTCGGGCGACGTCATAATGGGTGCCGCTGGCTGTGGCATGCCCAGCATCGGTTGATGGTGCTCCTGGTGCTGCTGTTGCTGCTGGTGATGGACGATGTAGCCGCCATTGGGCAACGTGTTGAGCAGCACCGTCTGTGGCGCCGCCGCCGTGCCCGCCGGACTGATCTGACTTATTTGGCTGGCCTGCGAGGTGATGATCTGATGATGCAGCAGCTTAGCCCCGCCAGCATTAAGTATCGACGACGGCTGGCTAACGATATACCCGCCGCCTGGCTGGGCATGCAGCTGGGCTGCCTGCGCCGGCCGCTGAGCCTGCTGTGCAGCAGCTGCCTGCTGCTTGCTAGCGCTGGGTATGACCAGCAGCTGGCCAGAGGAGGTCATGATCAGCTGGTTGCCGCCGCCACTGTTGTTCGCCATGGACTGCAGCTGCGCCACAGCTGCGTTCCCGCTGCTCAGCGTAGTGCCGCCCGGTCGACTGATGCCCGCCGTGGTCGTCACAATGCTGCGCGTCAGCGTGGCTGCCCCGTTATTGGCCATCGACTGCCTATGGGCCGGGCCAACTGCGGGCTGGCACTGCTGCCGCAGCAGTCGCAGCTGAGCTGTGGGCTGGGCCGCTGCTGGTTGGCTTTGCACCTGGCACTGGGACTGGGATTGGGGCTGGGGCTGACGCATCTGCATTTGAATTTGCGCCTGCTGCGGCTTGGGCGAGGCGCTGGGCGTGCTCTTGCACGAGTCCAGCGAATCAGTGGGCGGGGAGAGACTGTGACGCGGACTCTCGTGGCTCGTCGAGATGGCGCCCACTTGCTCGGGGCGCTTCTCTGCCTCGGGCCCGCTGCTGGATACTGGCGACTCCTGGGGTGCCGGCACCACCGTTATGCTGGTGATCTGTGGCTTCTGTGGACGCGCGAATGCCGCTGCCGTGTCGACGTGCAGCGAACGCGGCGCACTTGGGTCCACCTCCCATTTGCCGCCCGTGAGCATCGAGAGACGACGAATGCCTCGACGCTGCTGTTGCTGGGAGCTGTGCACAATGGGCTCCTGGGGCAGCGCACGGGCCGTGGCAGTACCCGTGGCGTTGCCCGTGGCTGGCTTGGCATCCAGCCCCGCACCCAGCGTATTGTGCAGCAGCGTCGTTTGCTGCTGCAAGTAGCCTGCGGGATCATCCTTGAAGTTGGGCTGCTGCTGCTGCTGCTGCTGCTGCTGGGCTGTGGGATGAGGAGGAGCAGGCGTAGAAACCGTTGTCACGGCCTTTATCACAGGCGCTGGAACTGTTGCGGCCGACTCTGCGACTGGTAGCAGACCAGGAGCAGAAACAGGAGCAGGGGCAGCTCCTGCTGTTCGCTTTGGCGCGCTCTCCATGCCCATTGTTTGACTAGTTTGCATGACGGCCGTGTTTGTGGATATGGGCGTGGCTGTGACTGTGACTGGAGCTGGAACTGTTGCCCTGTTGGCCAGCTTATAGCTGCTGTTGTTGCTGTTGTTGCTGCTGCTGCCATATTTGTGGCAATCAGCGTCTGAAATGTAGCAGAAAGAAATTCAAAGGAAAAGTCAGTGAATGTTTGACGCAAGTCCTTCGTTGGTTATGCAAAGTGCGTCGTCCTTAAAGTGGCCGCAACGTGCCCGCGCCGGCAGCAATGCAAAGGGCGTCCCACAAAGGTCGTCATGCCACTTGCCACATGCCACTTGCTGCTAGCTGCTTACTGCTTGCCACTTGACAAAAGCAGACAAATGCCAAATGGCTGCGAAAGCGAAACACAATAAAATCAAAGCACAAGAACGTGCACGGCAGACTTAAAAGCAAGGGCCAGTGAAAGAGGGTCCTAGAGACTGGAGCAACTGCTTGGGGGGGGGGCATTGAACGTGGCCAGGTTCAGCGCTCAGATAATGCTAAACTTAATTAAAATGCTATATAAAGCGGACACCCACTGTCTGGTACTTGAGTGAAATCTCACAAGTTGTTTTGCTAGCCAAAAGCCAAAGGAAAAGTTTTTAGGGCAAACGCTGCAAGCTCTATCAAGATGGGATAAGTTTACCTATATTTAGTGTGAAATTATAGCAAACTGAAGAAGTCATAGCTAAGTAACAGTTGTATTTCTGTTATAATATCCCTAATGGATATGTGTCTCTATAATATTATCTGAGAGATAATGTCTCGTATGAGCCATATTTTAGTTAAAGATCTAACTTATTGAACTTAACTTAGATTGGGAAAGCCTAGGGCTAGGATCTGCTTTCATGGCATTCCATTAGGTACTTAGAGCATGAAATATGAATAAAATAATTTCTCCTTAGTCACAGTAATTTAAAAATTTTTAAACAGTGATAAAATCTAAAAGTTTTGAAAACAAAAGTCGAATATGAAATGAAAAAATTAATCAAATATTTCTATTTAATGATATGAATTTTAAAATTGCTAAGCTAAACAGATTTCAGAACAGAAACAGAAATCGAAAACGAAATTTGTTTTAATTTATTTTTAATGCTAAAGGCAGCAAACCTAATTCAAAGCTGAATTATTTACGCAAGGCAAGTTCCTCCTTGTGCACAACCACACACACCCTCACACACACTCACATGCAAACACTTATTATTTAAGCCGCAATCGCGAAAATTTCTAAAACGCAACAAACTTTTGCCTGGCGCAGCATTTTTAATGCCCCGCTGATTGGGGCAACAACTGCCCCAACGACAGACGAGCTGTGGCAACGAAAAGTCACCACCCCCCCCCTTACACCGACACCAATTCAGTTGTGCTGTTGCGATATTTTTAGAGTGGGCGTGGCTGATAGGCGGATCGCAATGGACGCGCTTGGCTAAACTTTGCCGTCAAGTCCCTTTTGTTTCAATTAACCTTTTCATTTGAAAGTTTTAACAATGTTTGCCAACTGTTTTGCGCAGCTGGCGAACAGCGTTACGCCCACAACGCCCTTTGATGATTTGACCAGCAGCAGAGCAGCAAGTGTCGTGTCGAAGCCACGGATGCCACACGCTTAAAGGTGACCCCAAAATGCGCTCGAAACCCTTTTATTGCGAGTGTCTCTCTCTCTAACTCTATCTCTCTCTTTCTCTTTCTCCTCTGTGCGTGTGCCTGGGCTTGTGTCTCTGGGAAATCAACAAATACTTTTTGATATCTCAAATTGAAATCCAAATGCCACAAAAGGCCCCAACTGAAAGCCAGACGCCCAAACAGCTATGCAAAATGTCAACCAATAAACCAAATGGATACACTGAACGAATTTAGCATACACTGCAAATACTTTGAGGCAATTCAATTTATAATTTAATATTTTCATATTTACATAAATCAGCTCAAACTCTATTCACAGCAAAACTTGTTTGCAATCACTTAATTAGTTAGCGGAATTCTAGTAAAAATCTAAAACTATTCCGCTTTAGTTGTCCTGCATCCCCTTCACGCCCCACTCCTCCTCCGCCTTCACTCTGCCTAGAGCTGGAGCACTATAAACTTTTTAACACAAATTCAACAATAAAAATGCTGTTAGATGAAAGTTGCGAAGCCACTTTCAGTAGGCACTTTGTGGGCCAAAACTCATGCAGTTAGCACTGGTTGGCCAAAAACTTTGCGCTATGCTCTACGCCTGGCACAAGGCACAAGGACTCGTTGCTGGGAGCGCTCTGAAGTGGAAATGTTAAACAGTTGGGGCTATTTAATAAACATAATATTTGTTTATGAGAGCGACGGCTCATCCCATCCAGGGCGCAGGGCCCCGGAGGTATTCAGTGAACGAGGCGACATTCCTGAACGGCTTTTGACAGCACAAACATGTTCGGGTCCCTTTGAGTGACCCACACAAAGGACGAAATCAAAACAGTCTCGCACACGCCCACACAGACAGAGGAACAGAGAGAGAGAGAGAGAGAGAGAGGGGACAGGCAGGCAAACAAACAAACAACAGGCGGAAAAACATGACGCTAGCAAATGCGAGGCGCGTGAGGGGGCTGCTGCAAATGCACTTCCTGCTGCCACGCCCACCACCTTCCAAGCGTGTGGACTTTAAGCTTGTTGAACCCATTTTTCTGTATTTTTTTCCTTCCTTCTGTACGCTTGCTTTAGCATGTATGTATGCGTATCTTTCTGCTATCTCTCTCTCACTCTCTCACTCTCTTTTTCTCTGTTTATATATTTGTGTGTATGTCTTTCCCTTTCTCTCTGTGTGTGCATTTTCACTTTATCATTGTCTAGGCAGCATTTCCCACTTGCCAGCAGCCCAAGTCCACTGCAATTGCATCCGACTGTGTATCTGTGTATGTATATGTGTGTGTGTATGTGTGTTTGTAGCTGTATATGCACATAACATTGTTTGTTTGCACCGTGTGCTTTTGGCTCCCACTGGGCTGGCTCGCGCGATGTTTTGCTTTACTTTTCTCGCACTCGCCTGCACTTGGAGCACGTATCTACACGATTTCCAACTGCTTTGGCCACACCAAGCCCGCCCCTTCCCTTTCCCCTTCCGCTTCGCCATCGCCTGCACAAGCTGTTTTCCCTTGAGTTTGTCGCTGGCTTCACAATTCCTTTCCTTTAGCATACTTTAGTGCGCTGCCAAGGTTCGGGAACCAAAGCGTTCATCTACATACATACATATATACAAATTCTTTGCGACGCTTTCAGCAGCCAGAGTTTTGTCAGGGTTGCCATGGCGCTAAAACTACAAAGCTTTGCCAACTTTTGGGGTATACAAAATATTTGTGATTGCTTCAGCGATCTCCAAATGAATTGCACACAAAGTAATCCGCTCAAAGCGCAAAACTCTGTTCGCTAGAATTTTAGAGACTATTCATTATGGCCGAATAACCGTAAGTAGCTTTTTCCCCAAACAGTTGACTTGCATCGTAGCAGTAGGGAAATGCAAGAGAACACATCGAAAATGCATTATGACTACCGTGTGATAAGGTGCTTTAAGGGACTTGTGCATGTGCAATTGAAAGCTTTAAATTACATAAGCAGCATATTTGATTGAGCCTGCGACAATTCTAGTGTTCCATCAGGCAGTTAGTTAGCTTGAATATTGTCTGTGCTTATCTTTTAATAAAGTTGCTCTACAAATTAGTTTAGCTATCAGCTCACGCTCACCTTTGTGGGCCAACTCTAATGTGGCTGTTGATGCTGTCGTTGCTGTTGCTGTTGCTGCTGTTGTTGTCGCCGTTGTCGTTGTTGCCGTTGCCGTTGTTGATGCAGCAGATGCTGTTGCTGCTGTTGTTGTTGTTGTTGTTGTTGCCATCAACGCAGTAAACGCATCACTGGCCGTAGCGACAGCAGCTGCTGTTGCCTTCGCCATCGACATTGTCGTCGCCATCATTAAATCCTTGACAGGCTGCGGATTGTGCAACTGCTCTCCGTCGAGCAGGTGCCGCTGGTGTGAGCAGAGCGCCACAATCGCCTCTTGGCTGCTGCCTGGCGACACCTTTAATGGCATGTTGGGCACCTGCAATTAACATAATGCAACAAATTGTCACATTAGCAATTAGAATTCAACAGCACCAACAATAATGGATGGCGGCGCCGTCAACGACGCATTTGCGATTGTTTCTGTCAATTTGAAATCGAAATTTTAGTTACACGCACACACACACACACACACACACACACACACACACACACACACACACACAGCTACTGTGTGATAGACACATTTGTGGCTGCTATTCATTTACATATGAAACGTGAGTGGCATTGATAAAATAGAAACTCAATAAACGCCTAAACGTAGTTTGATTTTGTTTGCGGCGTCTTTGATACCCTGGATTTATAGGCTGCGAGAGGAGAGTGAGAGGTGAGAAGTGAGGTACTTGAGTTCAGTAAACAAGATTCCTTAATGTGTTATGGAGTGCAATATTTTTTCGTTTTTATCTAAATTTAAATTTTAGCATATTAGAGAAATAAAAAAAGTAGATCTAGCTCTTCATAATGCCTCCCGTCTTTCTCTCTTAGACTCGTATTGCGAATAAATACATTTTATTCTATTTATTAGAAATCTTTCTTAAGCTTCTACTGAGTATAAACAAGTTGTGCAACTGAAATAAGATTTTGTTTACTTATTAGTTTATTTTGCTTTGGTAACCTTCAGCACATACACAGCACAATAGACAACTCAAACACACACACACACACAGACACACATAGATAGAGCACTTTTGTAAATAGATATCGAATACAAGTCGAAGCGAGCCCACTGAACGAACACATGTAATCCAATCAGATGCTGCAAATTGCGCTTAATAAGTACATCAAAAGATTTGATGGCGCCCGGCATGGGAACGCCTCTGCCCCGCCTCGGCAGGTGCTGGGCGAAGGCTAGGAATTTATGCAAATTAGTCATTTGCTCAGAAGGGGGGGAGGGAGGTAGGGAGGGTGGGCATCAATTTGTACGCCCCGAAGCATGACGACGACCCTTTTTTGGGGCGGCGAGGCGAGGCGCGCCTTTTGTGCCATTTCAATCAGTGGACAGGCAATTGCTTCATTTGGTCGCTTAAGCGCTGCAAACGAGTCGCTCGACCAATTTGGTCAGCAATTTGCGCAAACCAATCCAACTGCGAATTCCACAGGCCAAACTTGGCTAAAATACAAAAAGAAAACAAGTGAAACAAAAAGCAGCCACATTAAAGCGATGCAGTGCTCAAAAAGCAATCAGCTCGGCGCCTTAAAAGTCGATTGTGACTGCATAACAACTGCATCACTCAAACAAATGTTGTTGTTGTTAACAGCGACTGCTCAAGACCTTTAGAACATTGAACCACAAAACCGAGCTGGAAAAACTGTCAAGCCGTTGAGTCGCATGACTCAAAGTGTTTCGCCCACAATAACCACAATTTCTATATTCAGAAGAAAACGTTTCTAAATAAATTTATTCATTTGCCACGCCCAAAAGAGATGACGGCCATCTATGTATATTAGTTGCATCTATGTATATTAGTTCCCTTGCTCGTTTCGCATCTCCTGTCCCAAACATTCGATTTGCAATGGGAGCATCTCTGTTATAGTCGTTGACTTTGCTCTTAATTTTCATACTTGGATTGGTGCTTCCGGTTATTCATATTTCATCTGCCACTGCCACTGAAACTTAGTCAAAAGGCTGCATGGTTGCAAACATAATCTCAACTCTCTCTCTCTCTCTCTCTCTCTATCTATCTGTCTTTTAGCCAATGCGCTTGCGAGCTGATTGCAAATGTTGAATGGAAACCTCAGAGATGACTTTACGTCCCCCCGGCCACCCAAACCCTTCAGCATGCGACTTATGCATACATATATTGAGCATTTTTAGTTGGTTCATTGTTTTTTTTTTTTTTTTTTTTTTTTTTGGGTGTGGCTAGGCCTGCCCGCCTGCTAGTAATGCGATAAACGAAGTGCAACCCATACGGAACACTCGTTGCCCATAACAACCCAAAGTATTCATGCAATATACACGAAAATTTAATTGGCCATTTAATGGAAAAATAATTAGCAACAGACTGCCATGTTGCTGCAGCATCAACAACAACAACAACAACAGCAACAATGGCAATTGTTGAAAATTGAAAAACCGTCTCACATATTGCTAACAGAGAATAAAATGTCATATTTATTATACATAATGGGGAGAAAAAGAGAAATACAAAATGAGAGCCAGATAACTATAAATTTCAATACATCAATCAATATATTACAAATTTATAATTTCACATGTGCAACAAAAAGACATAAATAAAGCTGTTAAAAACATGTCTACGATATATCGATGGATTTAGTTCGATATTAATATATCGGCTTACTTAGCGACGGGCCGAAGCCACGACTTTTAAAGCTTTATTTATATGTCTTGTCTTAATTAAATCATAATGATTTTGTAGTAAGTAATTTGGGAGTAATCAAGATGTATTCATTTTTAGTTTTATCTTTTTCTTTTTTATTATTATTATTTTTTTAATAATAATAAATTAGAGCTATTAAGTCGATCGATTGGAGCAACTATCGACTGTACCCGTTTATCGATGATTTTGCAGCCCTACAAATGAATTCAAATTCCAATTTGTTCGAAGAACAAAGTAAACTTCAGTTGAAATTAAAAATATGGATTGATTACATCTTGTGATATACCCTTTGTGAAATACATCCATTACAGGGTACAGATACATGAATTTATCATTAACGTTATGTAAAGTCTTGTTAACGTTTCAAATACATAAAACGTTATGTGTATTTACAGATGGCATGTTCGAAATACATTTTTGCATATTTGACATATTAACCAGCGCTGTTTTTGACAGAAATTAGCAAGGGTGAGCGGCAGAGTGCAGACATGGGACACGCCTATGTAAAGCACGCAATAAAATGCCAGGCGACAGAGGCAGAATAAAAAAATGAAATAAAAACAACAACGAGAGAAAATACCAACAAAACATTGCACTTTTGCATGCATAATTGCGACGAAATTAAAGCAAAATGCGCAGACAGCGGGCAACGGGGAGCGGGGAGCGATGTGGCCACGATAGCCACATGAGTGGTGGTAGCAACACCACCAACAGCACCAGCAGCAGTTGGGCAGGTGTGAAGCTTGTGCACAGGTGCATGGCCGGTGTTGGATTTCATTAACATCATAATGACCGGCGAACGAACGACGCCAGACGGCCCCGACAGCTTTAATCCTGGCCGGCTGGCCTGCCACAACAATGAGTTGGGCACATGCAGACCAACACCTCAGCTGCCACCACCCCCTGGACTGTTGCTCCTCCTCCTAACCGAGTTTTCTTTAGCTGCAGCTGACGCTCGGGCCTTGGCTCTGGCTCTAACCCTTGTTGGCAGTGGCAAGCGAGGCGCACTCGCGACAGGAACCTGCGCCACTGCCGGATGTGAGTAATCGCTCAGTCACGTCGTTGCGTCGCGTTGCGCTGCGTTGTCCTGCAGGACATTGCTGTGCAGCAAGATTCCTGTACCCCATTATTGGACACTACCATGCCCTGCCCTGCCATGCATGACGTAACCCGCTACGGAAGTCGCTCCGCGCACATGCAATGGCCCGGCTAATGGACACCAAGCAACAGCAGCAGGAGGAGGAGTGAGGGAGCCACTTGGATGTGGCAAGATATAGCACGTTGCAGCCACGCAGCATTTTTGTGTGCAGTTAGCTGCTAAATTCTTAACATTTTCCAATCAGAGCAGCAACCTTTTACATTCACCGGAAAATGCAGAAAGCAGAATGCAAAATGCCTTCAAGCAGAGCTGTTTTTATCTGTTCCCTCCACTCCTCCTGCTTCTTCGTCTTCCTCAAGCACTCATTGCCTGCGACCTTCTTGCGACTCCCTTTAAGAGCCGTAGCACTTTTGAAAATTGAACAGCAGCTAGTTGGAGTTGCTCGCATTGAGAGGCCCTGCAGCCTGTCGACGTTGACTTGGACTTCTCTTTGTTCTTCCTTCCCGTCTTAATGCCACGCTGTCTGCTCTTGGCGCGTACAACATTTAATTTGGACTAATGAAGTTTCTATAAGAGTTCGCCTAAATGACTGGCAAGAAAAGAGCGATGCGCCAGCCGTGGCCAACGACCCAGAGCAAACCAAACTGAACCGCAAAAAAAATACAACGAGAGGAAAGGATCCCAACTGGAAACTCAGCCAAAAATTCAATTTGGCCCAAAAGTGAAGTTGAAATTTGCGCGGCAATTGCTCTTCCTGCTCGCAGCTCGAGTGACGTGCAAATTGCACAAAAGAAACATGGACAAAGGCATACGGTGCACTGACAGACGCAAAGATACCCTGTAGAGTGAAGAGCTTTGAAGCTGATGTTGAATTGGTAATTCTCTTTTTATATGCATACCAAGTTGATTCTCGATCTAGATTGAGAAGACAATTTAGACATATAATATATATTTTATTTTATAGCAGATTAAACTGTTATATGATATATTCAGCTTTGAGCTGTTATCTTGACATCGAATTTAAATAAAGAATAAAAATTAGCTTTTAGTCTTTGATGACTATGATGCTTTGCATTTCCTCATACGCAACAAGCAACCCTCTTGTGTATTTAGTGCTGGGTATAGATAGCGAACTGACACATCGCCTCGGCCCACCTGCCGTCGCTGGCCCAGCGCTAATTGTTTTAGTTGTTGTTCCATGAATATGCTAAGTTGTCTGCTGCGTTTTGCGTCCACCCGCCTCACCGCCCTCGCGCCCCTCGCCAGCTCGCTCAGCAAATGTTTATAAATGCAAATTGGCCGAAAAGTGCAGCAGCAGGGACAACGACAGCGTCACTTTCTGGACGTGCTCGGTTAAATATTGTGTACTCCGCCCTAAAAGTGGCAAAAGCCAGCAGGGGCAGGGAGCTGCGGCGACAGGTTTAAATGACTGAAACGATTCGCTGGGATTGACTGGGGCTCACTTTCGGTTTCGGGTCGGCCCTGGCCCGGACAAGTGCTGTCAGCTTGGCCCTGACATCGCAGACCCTGCACTGCTCCAACCGCTGATCATGATGTGGGGCAGCTAGCCTTCACACACACACATACTAGAGACAACCAGTTGAGCAGATGGAAAACAGACTTGGGCGCTGGCCCATACAAATAACATCATTTTGACTTTTATAGCTTGTGTGTGTGAGTGCTCGTGAGTGTGTGTGTGTGTGTGTGTTTTAAACAGCAACAACAAACCCTTCCCATTGCGATTTAATTTTTGGGTTTCAGTTTTATTATTTTTATTGAGAGTTGTAAATTTTGAGCTGCCGTTCAACGTTCAGCGTTCGGCATTCGACGCTGACCTTCTCAAGTTTGTCTGCTCGCTGTTCCAATTGTTGCTGTTGCTTGTATGCATTGAGCTTGTGCCCAACAGACGCCGCACCGTATGACAGACTTACACAAAGCAATAACAATCTGGGGCCGGGGCCAAAGTTTTATTTGCTTGCTCAACTTGCGTTACACAAATTGCGTTCAATGCGCTCAAAATAGAACCCTGTGAAATACTTCAAGTATTTATATATATATCTGCATGCTTACATACCTATGTATATATATATATATAGTACAGGCATAGTCAGCTGAGAGAAAAATCAATTTCTATTGTTTCACACTTATTGCAACGGAGCAGCGTTTCTCGTTCTTTCAATTCAATTGGAAATTTCAATTGCAAATAATTGTTTAATTAGTCTCAATTGCAGTTAATCTATATTTATGCATGCATGTGTGTGTGTGTGTGTGAGGGATATATAGATATAAATATTACGCATATCAGCAAAGCACATTTGAAGGGCAATGCGCCTGTTTTATTTAGCTTCTAGCTATAAAATGTCCCTAGATTAAGTATACGCCATGAATATTACGCATACGATATGTGGAACGGCAGTCATATATACAGAAAATAGAAATTATTGAAACTTAAGCAATATGCACACTATGCGTAAGTGTATGTGTGCGAGTGTGCTGTGTGTGTACCCTATTTTATACAGCATGCATAAGGTCATAGATATTTGTATATACATAGATACACAAACAATAGCCAGTGCATAATGAGCACAGGGTCACTGTATAAAATCAAATATATATGTATAAGTATATATATAATAAATAGGATAAGGTCACGCCAATACTGCATACATACTACACAAACTCCTCGACTTAGTATGGATTGTGAAGGTAATAAATTTACTTCTGCTTCTTTATTTTTATTTAATTGATGCGATGACTAAGTATTTCTGCTCCTATTGAATTTGCTGCTAGGTTATTATACGATATCCACAAAAATCGATAAAAAACAAAAATATTTGTTTAGGCCAACTAGCCACAAGACACTGGAGTCAGCTCAACTTTAAGTCTTGACGTTGCTTTGCTTCAAAGTCACATAAATAAATATTTGCTTAAGCACTTTCCAATTGCCAACTCCATTCCATTCCAGGCACATGCACATGCATGTACGCAAATCTGTGGTCACTTGCACAGCCACACACATCATAATTTGCAGCACAAACTGTGCAACATGACTAGCAAGATGGCGCTATGCGATATGGGCGGTAATGGGGCGTGCCTAATGCGCCGCACCGCTCCTAGCCGGAGTGTGTGTCACTTGAGTGGCGACTTTCACCCAACGAGCGAAAAAAACAAACAAACAAACAAAACGAAAAAAAAAACTAAACAAAAAACAAACCCTAACCTACCACACCTCGCTGCAAGAGACACAAAGGCAACTTAAGCGACAGCAAAATGGCAATAATCAAAACAAAGAGCAAACAAACCAATAAACGAACGTAGACTTCATTATGGAGGCACATCAATCATTGCCAAAACACGAAACCCCAGCGCCAACTGGGATAGGCCGCCAGCAGGGAGCGCGCGCGGGGAGAAGTTCGAGTTGAATGTGCCAAGAGACGTCGACGAGAGTAGACAACAAAAAGAAAAAACCCAAAAAATAAAAGCACAGTTGCCATTTTGCCACAACGATGTGCAGATAGACAGACAGACAGAGAGACAAGCCACCAGAGTGAGAGGCAGAGACAGAGCGGGAGCGAGAGGGAGAAACATAAAGGGCATCACCGAAGAAGCGAGTGTGAGAGAGATCTGCAGCTGGAGCCAAGACAGTCAGTCAACGACTTGTGGTCAGCCTGCTGGGAGGGCGGAGAGGGGAGCGAGCCCGCAAGAGGGCTTATACGGTGGCACAATAAAGTGTTTAGTAAACAAATTGCGGCTGCCTTTTGATAATATGCACGCAGTCAGCTGAGCAGCTGCGCAACGCATCCGCAGGCGGAGGGAACTTAGTCCACTGGCGAGGGGAGGAGGTCTGTAATAGGGATAAGTTATAAGTACATTGCACCGAAATATCGATTGACGAAAGCCACAAAGAAGCCAAGACGAAGAGAGCGAGAGGAAGAGGGAGCGTGTATAAAATCTGGAGAGAGTTTGAGGTACAGCGCGTGTGCGTGTGTGTGTGTGTGTGTGTGTATGTGTGTGGGCGATGAGAAGGACATTGATTGTGTGCGGGCGGTTGGACAGACGGGCGTTGGCGCCGACTTCACGCAAAAACCAAAGAGAAAACCATAAACTTAAATTAATGACCTCAGCCGAGGCGTGCGCTGCGCTGAAAAGTCGAAGAACGGGACCGTGTGCAAGCGAAGCGAAAAGTCAATAAGAGCAAGAGCAAGAGCTAGAGCCAGAGCAAGCAGCAGCAAAATATGAAGACAAAGAAATTGTGGAAGAAGCGGAACACTGATTTACCGTTGCAGTTGCGCTGCTCCAATTGGAAATGAATCTTATTGCTGGCGATTTCACTGCGATTCTCAATATAAAACACATAAAGATGAAAATACTTGTCAATTTGGAGCAACGTCTGCCTCTGCTCCGGCGGCTGCTGCTGCTGCTGCTACGGCAGATGGTCGGCCGTTTGAAGCAGTCAACATTGGCTAAGTGATTATGCAGTCGACGTCGACATAGTCGATTTGTTGTCAAACTGGTTTTACAAATATTTTGCCCAGGCGGTGGGGTATATGTATACGTATATATCTGTATGTGTGTGTAATTGTGTGTGTTGCCAGGCGGCAGTTACATGGCTGCAACGCTTAGTGAAAGTCGCTTGAATGCCGTTTTCTGTCAGCCCCTGGCACACCCCGCTTTGCCCAGACGCCTGTCAGCCCCCCAATGCTAGTTAGCTCAATGCGCATTCAATTAGGTTTAGCTCAAGCTTTTGGCTTTGGCTGCCAGCTAACCCAGGCCGATGCTTACAGACAATTATGAGACAAACTAGTTGCAATTGCAGCTAACTTACCTGAGCATTAAAATCGAAAAAGTATTCCGGCCGCAGCGGACACGGCAGGCCACACTTGCAGGTACCCTGTGTTAGCAAATAGTCCTTGATTTGGAATTGGGTGCGCAGCGTTTTGCCCGTCGGACTGTAAGGAACAAATAGAGTAAATAGATAAATGCTTATGCATATGTAATGAAGCCGATTAATGTTATAAATTATTTATTAGTTAATAGAACAAATTGTTGTATGCAAATGTCAATTAAAAACTCGTCAGCAATAGCCAGCTAAGTAATTAACCCCAACTATGTGTGTTAACAGCCTAACAGCTAACAGAGAGCAAAGGCGGCTCGAGCAACACGCGGCTGTTTAACGCTAACAGCTCATTAACATAATGGGCAAATGAGGCGTCGTTGCGCATTAACATAACAATGTTAAGCGACAGTTGGCAAGCACTCGCAAACACATGCATGCATACATGTGTGTCTACGTGCATGTGTATGTATGTGTGCACATACATAAATTAATTCCAATCAGAATTGCTCGCTGCTCGTTTTGATCGCATGTCAAATAAGTGCGCGCCACTCAGCGCATAATTCAAACTGGTTTTTACGTATTTGCACTCAGCTCTCGCTCTCCACGTGAGCTTATCGTTGAGCTCTGAGCGGCTTAACCAGGGCCCTCGTGGAGTTGAGTCGCGTGATTTGATGATCCGGCTTCACTACAGAAGTGGGCATACAAATCAATTCAATGTTAACTTGGGGTTGGACCTTTAAAATTGCTCACTGCAGTAAAATGATCGCTTAACTTATTTTAAGACTATATTTATCAAGTATTTACTTTCGATTCTGATATACATTTACATTTAAGATGTTCTTGAGGAATAATAAACATTATTATTACTATATACTTTATATACAATAATACAAATTTATAACTTAATTGATTGGTTTGACTTGAATTCAAGATTTAGTTCCTAGCCATGGAATACTTAGATCTCTTATTTTACATCTAAAGCTGAAAGTAAAATACTTTTAATTTAATTTTCATAGATAGCGAAATATCTTGCAAAGGACAAACCAATTTATTTCAAGTTTTTTTTTTTATCTTTCTCTATTATTGCAATATGTCACTTGAATTTCATAATTCTCTAGTTTTCCCAACTGGTTCACTGCGAATTTGCAGCTCTATTGTTATGCAATCTCTGGAATCTAGTTCAACCCGCTTTGCAACAATTGCTAATTGCGTCTTAGGGTATATCGCTGTTCTACCCCATCCGAAAACCACATTCGTAATCCGTTTTGCGCTCATTTCATTTTTACAACAATGAGATTTATAAAAGAGCGAAGATTTAATTTTGAACAGCATTAAAATATGCGCAGAACCAAAAAATAAACAAAAAACGAATCCAGTGAATCAAGTTTTATTTTTTATTTTTGATATTTTTTGTTGGGTTCTCAACTTTTTCGAGCCCCTCTTGCAGGGGCCACGCATGACCGCAAATGTTAAAAAGTTGTTCTCGGTTTCTATATAAGTATGTATATACATATATGTGCATATATGCTGCGCATAAAAATCATTTGGGGTTAAAACATGGCGAAAACAAAAAAACAAAGGAAAAAGTTGGAAAAAAAAAATCAACGCTGGCTGCTTATTAATTATAAAGTGTGAGCATGTTGATGGAATCAAGGGCGCTGCCAATGATGATGACGACGACGACGACGACAGCGCGGCAAGGCGAGGCGAGTCGAGTCGAGTCGCACTTGAGCCCCGGGGCTTCTCAGCCAGAAATGTTGAATAGGACAAGCTGCGCAACAGCCGAGTGGAACGGGCAGAGCCTGGTGCCCGCTCCTCATCTCGTGTGGGAAATCTGAATAATGCATATCAAGTGTGAAAGCGGCAGGGGCACTAAACGGAACGAAACTAAAGGACGGCAGCAATAGCAGCAGCAGCAGCAGCAGTAACAGAGACGACAATCTACATAATTGAGCGGCAACAGCGGGTTAAACGAGTATGCGAGAATTGTCAATTGAAGAAGCCTGGCAGCAGCAGCAGCAGCAGCGCAGGATGAGTTGGATCAGGGTCTGCGACTGACACTGGGCCTGGGACTGAGCCAGAGCCAGAACGGCGACCACGGTCAACGTCGCATTCGTTCTCATCAATGGGCCTCACAGAAAAACAACAAAGCGGAGTAAGCACTAAGGAATGGCTGACTACAAGTTACCCTAGAAATAGCATTAAACTGCAGGCATAACTATCGAACTGTCAGCTTTTATCTCAAATCGATAATTATCCTATACATCGATAATTATGCTATACAGCCCAGTTATAAAAAGTCAATAGATATATATCTATTTCAAGAAAACAAAAAACATGTCAATAGCACAAATGAAAACGCAGATAATCTTCAAGTCTACAAAATTGAGTAAATAATTCGGTCACAAAACGCGACTACCTCGCTAAACTATTTCGCTTGTGTACAGGGTATATGAAAAGGGCTATCTGCCAATTGAAAGCTGAAACTGGTTTGTTTTATTAATTATTTTTAACTAGTTGCTTGGCCGTCAGCGCCAATCGAAGGCAAGTCAATTGGCTAAATGTGCGAAGAGGTTGCCGGGAGGAGAGTAAGGGAATGATCAACGCCAATGCTTATAGCTCAATTTGTATGCCGTTGGCGTGGCCCACGGCTGGCTTAAGGGCTCACAATTACGAGCAGTCTGCAATCTGATATTCCCTTCAAGCACGAAGCTCGGCTCATTATGTTATTTATTTACACAAAACGCGCTAATAACGCGAGGGATTGGGCGCTTCAAGCACTGCAGCTGAGTTCACATAAAAAGGCGTTGAGCTAACGAGTTAAAATAATTTAATAAATTACGTTCACAAAGAGCGTCAAGTGGCCAAAGTGGCCGCCTGAATGCGCCAAAAAAAGCACGCTCGAACGCAACTCGGCTCGAGTAGGTGGAAAAGCCGTACGCCTCTGTGACCTTGAAGTGCACCCTCAAGCCAGCCTGGACGAAGGCGGAACGGGGCACAGCTGCAGAGACACAAGACACAAGAGACAAGAGACGAGGGGCATGCGCTGAATGGGCCTATTACTAAATTAATAAACCCGAACGACGCCAGCAAAAGGCAACGCCAGCAACGGCCAAAAGGCAAACGGGCTAAAGCTCTCAAAGAGTCTGACACAAATACCAAATGCCCGCCGATAGCAGCAGGGGCAACAGGGGCAACCGAGGCAGCACAGAGACTTGTTATTGCAACGTTAACTGAAAGCAGTCGACTCTAAAATCCCCAGGGGACGCCTTTTTACTAATCAAATTCTTTCGCTTAATTTCAATGCGCGAGGCTTTAAAGAGTTAAAAGTATTTGCATAGCATAGAGCGCGCTGTTATTAACAGACATTGGTGAAGAGCAATTAACATAACTTAAAGTTAATGTTAACATAATACAATCGCCTTATAAAGTCATAAAGAGAATTACAGCATTTGAAATGAGGTTTACAGCTTATAATTAATAAACTTAAAGATGTGCGTGGCATAGGGCATGCTGTTATTAACAGACGTTTGTGATATTTAATTAACATAATTTAATGCTAACATAAGACATTTGGTTTTGAATTGCAGTTTGTAGTTTATTTATGTAATATTTATTTTTAATAGTTATAATTAAAATGAATACTAACTGCAACTTACTAACTAACTGACAACTAAGGCCTTCGGCCATTGCAGATTATAATTAACCTGACATTTACATATGCAATAAAAGAGTTTGCCATATTCATATCAATATAGCCAACACGAATGCTTATTAATTTTCATCTCTTCCCAACATCTGTTCCCACGAAACGTTTAGCGACAATTTTGTGTGGTGGGCGTTGGCCAAAAATCAACACAAAATCAGCAATAGTGCAGGTCTGCAGGTCTGCAGGTCGTCGAAGTCAGAAAACTGCAGGCGGCAGACAGAGACATCGACGACAGCTGATGCAACCAGCCAACGCGCAGCGAGTAGAAGCCCGTGATGGACAGACCTGATGGCAGCGACTGGAACTGCGCTGTGACTCTGGCTGTGTCTGCCACTGAGGCCTGTCGCATGTGGAGAAAATTGAAAAACTGTCCGACTCTCTGGCTGTCTGTCGGCCTGTCTGACTTTGCCAAACTATTCCGCATTCTTGGTTTTTTCTTCATTTTTGTTTTTATTTTTGCAGTCAGTTGAATTGCTGGCGGCCTTGCGGGACGCTCGGGTCGCCTCCATTCCAGCTGCCGCATCTAATTTATGATTTATGTGTGTGGCACAGTAGGCGGGCCCTCGTTTTGACCTGAAAATGTGCATGTGTCACAGTTCTATATAAATGTGTGTGTGTGACGTCACGGCGCGCAGTCAACGACTTGAAAAGGCTTGCGCAACAATTATTGATTTACCAAAGCCCTCTGCCCTATGTGCCTCCATCCTTGAGCACAATCGCCGCTTACTCATTGCATTCTTTCCAAGAAAATAGCCTTGGCTGCCCGATGGCAGCGAGGGGGGGGGCAGCTTAGCACAAAGATGGTATTCATTTAGCCATTAGCCCAACCCCTCGAGCGCAGCTAACGTCGCTTATCTCTTCTGTTCAAATGGACGAAAGCTCACAAAGAATTTGCACAAGGGGCAAAAATAAAACGATAAACAAAATTCCAAACAAACAACAGCACGCAACATGCCACATGGCAATTGCAGCTGCTGCTGTTGCTGCTGCAGTTGTGAATAAACATGCAACATGGCTTGACCAGTCCAAGTAAAGTGTTCCAAATGGCCAATAACATGAAATCTAAAAATATATTAATAAAGACAGCTAGCAAACCCCACTCAAACAGTCCCTTATCGCCATCGATTGAAACTGTCCCAAATCAGGCTAAAAATAATCTATATATAATCTATATGCGCCATATATATGTATATATATATATATATATATATATATATATATATATATATATATATACTGTGTATCATCTTTTCTCATTTCTAGGAATGTGACCATCGTTTTTTTTAAGCATTTCCTGTGATTGGACGCACAAGCCAATCGCCAAGAGGCAAAAGGCAGGGCAGCCAGGCAAGCCGACTCGACTCGAGGCACTTATAGAATCAACGATTATCCAACTCTGATGACAACAACGTCAGAGAGAGGCAGCCACCACAAAGCCGTAAACTATTTACACAGCGCCAAAGACTCGCTGAGTGTGCCCGCACCTACCTCCACCCGCTCCCCTCCTGCTGATTCACCCGCCCAGCTGTCTACTGCTGCCCTGCAAGCCCTGTAAACAGCTCTCTGGTGCCCAGTCAAACGACACTCGGGCAGCAACAGCAGCGGCAGCAGAACAATTAAAACTACTTGGGCAATGGGGCACATACAGACGGTGGCTTGTTTTCGACATATTTGTGTAAATATTGTATTTGTGTTTGTAATTATGTCGGCTTGATGATAGCTCGCAGATAATGCTCAGGTAAATACTCGCTGTCTATGTGCATACGGCTGGCAGACCAATAATGCCAGGCACTCGACTTTGGAATACCCTGTACACATTTCAATTGAGGTAAACAGAGTGTAAGGTTAGTTGAGCAAACATAACATAATATCCTCTATATGAGTTATTTATGTGACTCAATCTCTTTGCAATTTGTATGCAAACACATTAATGGAGATATACTTGGGCATTTCATAGATAGTGTGTCATCAAGTACCAACTGAGCGATATATATATCGATTTTTAAGTGTATTATGAATTGAATGTAAATACACTATACAATCAAATATATTTTTATATATATTATTGAAAAACATATCAATTATGTATATGGTATAATATTTAATATTTAATTATCATCTAACCAAGTTACAAATGATCGATTTTAAAGCGCCTTGTAACACTAATGTAAATGTAATGCAAACCAATATACCTTTTCATATAGAAATATTATAACGCATTTATCATATATGTATGTGATATGTATATGTTAAGTATTTAATTATCGTCTAACCAATTAAAAAATGATCGATATATATATATATATATATCAATTTCAAAGCGTCTTGTAAGTATTAATGTAAATACAAGCAAATATAGGTTTACATATGTGTATATTGACTTGCGGCTAATAGCCTCTTCTGTCATGTTGCATTTTGTGCTGAACATTGGACGGGGAGTACAAATGTACAAGAATCTGGGAAAACATTTGTAGTTTAACGTGACGGCTACCAAAAGCAAGCAAATGCAACCGATTCTTGTATGGCCCACCCACTCGAGCAGCCCATCTGCTGAGCTACCCCTTTTGAGCAAGCATTTCCTGTTTGGCAAGAAAACATTTTTATGGCTTCGAATATGCACTGCCAGACAATACACAGATTGACTTTTAGCTGGGGCTTGCTGTAAATGTCATACAAGGGACAGATACAGAGACAGAGACAGAGATAGAGATGGTGACAAAGATGGAGATAGCAGCTAAGAAATAGAAACAGAGCCAGGAGACAGCGACTCACCTGATGTAGGCCACTTCATTGTTGTTGGTTAGTCGACGCCAGCCTGGAGCCAAATTTGCATTGTTGTTGTTGTTGTTGCTGCTATTGTTGTTAATGTTGTTGCTGCTATTGTTGTTATTGTTGTTGCTGCTGCTGCTGTTGTTTGCATTATTGTTAGCATTGTTGGCTTTGGCCACATTCTTTGCATAGAGCTGCTGCTGTTGTTGCTGCTGCTGCTGCTGATGTTGATTGTTCTGACTCATTTGACGCGATGCAATTGTTGCTGGCATACAGTGCGTGGCAGCAACAGTTGCCGATGTGTTTGCTGCTGGTTTCACAGGCAACTTTATTTGTGCTGTACGCTGCTTAGCTTGTTGCTGCTGCTGCTGCTGTTGCTGTTGGTGTTGCATCGGCGATCCAATCGCTGGACACACAAATATATGCTGACTGTGGCGCAATTGTTGCTGTTGTTGCTGCCCGGCAACATTTGCGGCTTGCATCATGTTGGCGCTACCATTTACCAAACCAGCTGGTAATATTTGTTGTTGCTGCTGCTGCTGCTGATGTTGTTGCTGTTGTTGTTGCTGCTGCATTGCGGCATTTGTAACGACCCGCGATACAAATTTTGTCTGCTGCTGATAGAATTGCTGCTGCTGTTGTTGTTGCTGCAACAATTGCTGCTGGTGCTGTTGCTGTTGCTGCTGTTGCTTGTACATGTTGAGCTGCTGCTGTTGGTGCTGTTGCAACTCGTTGACCTGCAGCACGCCAGCAACCGATTCCGCATTGCCAACAATGTTCAGTTTGTGCTGCTGCTGTTGCTGCTGCTGTTGTTGCTGTTGCAGCTGTTGGCCAGCGGATGCGGCTGCCATGTTAATAACAGCAGCCGTTTAAAAGCGCTTGATTTGTGGGCTGCAAACGAACATCGATGTTTAGTGAATTTTCAAGTGAGAGCACAAATTTGTACGAGTGCATAGATACTCATTCACACGCACACATATGCAAGCATATGGTATACCTATGTGCTATATACATACATTAGTATGTGTCCATGGAATTTTTGTTGGGCATTTATAAAGGCTGACTCAGAGCTATTTCAAAAATTGTGAGTACATTGGTTTACCTGACAAGAAAATACCCTGTACTCAACTTTCTACTGAACTATTATTAATTCAATTACATTTTCTCAGATATCAAGCAAATTGATAACCCATAAGCCTGCTAGAGAGGAAACAGCAAATATAAGTAGGTTTCTCTAACTAATCGCTAGCCATGGCTAGATATCGATACTTTACTAGGTGTCATAAAGAATTATCGAACTTGATTTGCGATATCTTAAAATTAGCTTTTAGTGTCTCAACGTATCTAACTAGCTAGCTTGATCAATAAAGATATATATGTATATGAAAAGAAACATTGCCCGATAAAAAATAAATTATTTATTTGCAAAGTTTTCTTTGTTTTTTTTTTTCACATTGACAAACTATGATTGTAAAGTGGCTGACGCCTGGATATATTTCGTACGTATGTGTGTTTACTTTCCGAACTACGTTGACTATACATTCACATGCGAAAACAACACACATATACAACTCATACATACATATACATAAATACCAACACAAGTGCACAATTTGTCAAGCCTGTGCTTTGATGCCATCTTCGGATGTTGCTACTCACCTTTTAACGTAATTTTCGTTTTGCTCATTTGCCAACATATTCAATTAATTTGAGTTATTGTGTAAACGAGACGCGACCACGTCATTTTGCTACTGCTGCTGTTGCTGCTGGTGTGTTGTTGTTGCTGCTGCTGTTGCTGGCTCGCGTTTTTAAGCACTTAATTTCACTTTTTTTTACGGCTTTTCTTGTTGTAATAACGCGACAACGACTTTTGTATTGTTGTTTAGCTGTTGACTTTGCAGTGTTGTTGTTGCTTTTGCTGTTGGTTTTCATACAATCTGCTGCTCATGACTTCATTTGGAATTCAGAAAACGAACGTCGCTCGCTGCCAGAAACAGAAACAGAGAGCAAAGAGCGCGCAACGCGTAAAAGTAGGTGAATGGAGCATGAAGCAGCCGCCAACGTCGCGGTCGCAGTCGCAGTCGCCAGTAGACAAGAACAACAACAACAACGACAACGACAATGGCTAAAGAGTAAGCAGGCGGGGGAGACAAGCGGCGGAGTATTGAGGAGCGAGAGCACAGTGAACACGACGCTCAGCTCATCTCAGCCCAACGAAACGTTTTGTTTTATGAAAAAATTTGTTCTGCCTAAATACTTATTATGCGCGTAAAGCAGAACAATTTGCCAGACGCGACGCTTGTTGTTCTTGTGTTGTCACTTTTTAATGGCATACATGCATGTGTGTACGTGTGCATATGTGTGTACATACATAAATATATTTATGTACACACACAAATTCCTGCATAGCTATGCTATGCATCCGTATGTAAATTTACATGTGTGTATATAATTAATGCGTAACTCAGTCTGTCTGTCTGTCTGTCTGCTCATGTGTGGACACCACCTGCCCTCCGGTTCTGCTCTAATGATCATAATAAGAATACAGCCAAGGGAAACAAGCGTACACATACACACACTCACACGCGCGCGTACACAAAATTGTAATACGTCGAGTGACCTCAAATGCTTATCTGCATTTCACATGCGCTTTTTTGGCAGCTGCTGCACTTACTAACACAAACACACACCTAAATACACATATTCATTACAGTGTTTGAATATATTTAACTGGTAGCTTAGAGCCTTTTAACATCATTTTGACTAAACGTTGATTTAACTTTATTATGCACAAACAGCAATTAAATGGGAATTAATTACAACGATTTCATTCGTTAGCTTTATTCACGCAACATTGACAACCGAGCGAACGACGATTCAACACTCGACTCTCGTACGCGCACACGAAATATTTTACTCAATAACTATGGATTTTTTTTTAATTTGTTTTTTTTTTTTCACCTTAATAGGAAAAATAATGTGATATTCAAACATAAGCTTTGATTTTTTTTTCACAGCCACTTACGAATCGAAATTATGCTAATTATTTCACTTTTGCGTGTGCGCGCATTTGTTTTTGGAATTTTTCGACTGCCCAAAATTCCATTCACTAGTAGAAACTAGCGATGTGAAAGTTCTCATTATATCTGTATCGATATTCATTGTATTATTACAATCGTAACTATCCCTGCCGATACTATCGATAAAAACGTTTGTGACGTTGCTCATTTTGCGCTTACGTTACGTTACTATACCACAGTGGTATTACCGCAAAATTGATGTCGGTAGTGCCTATTCACTTGCCATGTAAAATTTATAGCAACTAATTATTTCTATTCATAGAACAATAAGAAAGAAAAGAAAGTAGTTGAATTCCGAAAATCAACAGTTGGCCTTTGGAAAATTAAATTTTATTGTCGTAACCAAATCGATTTTCATATCGATTATTTAAGCACTGCAACACGGAATAGGTAACAACAAAGCGCGCGGTGCCGGCAACTTCAGGAATCATACGTTTCTCAAATTCTAAACTTCAATTTGTTTATATTCAATTACTTAAACGTGGTGTTGTTAAAAGACCGCAACAATGTCCGAGGCGGCTCTAAATACTTGTAAATTGCTGCTGTTTGGCCGTTGCGTGCGCGCCGTATTACTCAGCGTCGGCGTACAATTCCTATTGCTCACCGTATTTCTGTTGTTAATTAATTTTGAATTATTTCATCCCCTGAATTGGATTATGAGTTCGTTGCGCTTGGTGTGCAGCTTTTACACATGGTTCGCCTGCATACCATTACTAGGCGCTATTGTATTCTATGGAATGACGCTCTCCCATCAACATCTAGCCGAGCGTCGCTATTGGCCCACACGCTATCGGTGGCTGCTGCACAATGGTCCGCAAAAACTACTTTTTCTGTTCGCTCATGCGATTGTGGGCTACCTAACTGCATGGCTATACACAGGATATTTACACACGGATTACCGGTATGTCGCCTTAATATAATTATTATTATTATTATTATTGTACTATTTGATTACCTTTACAGTCACTTTATCTTCAAGGCATATGGCCAGGACTGTGTGAACTCTTACCACATTTTTTTGCTGGGCATGGGCCTTTGCGCTGGCGCCTATTACTTTGCCACCGAGTACATGCAGGAAGAGGCTTCCATTGATTTCGACTTTGCTGAGCAGTCGCGTTCAGAGAAGCTACGCGAAGTGCTCTATGCTACGCTGCTGAAGGCGCCTATGAGTTCAGTGATGCCGACGATTTGCTACACATTTGTATTTTGGCTATTCGGCACATTTCTAAGGTATCGTCTAAGTATTGTACTCAACGTGGACACGGACGACAGACTGCTTGGGATTGTAGACGTGATCACCAATGGACGCTTACTATTCTATGCCTGGTTGCTGGGCGCTCAGATAGTTAGCAATATGCGTCTAATGCGTTGCTTTTACGCCGCAATACTCTCGGAGCCTCTTCCAATGACTGTTGCACGCCATCGCCTTTCCGTTCCCGGTGAACAGGAGCTCACCATTGTGGCTGGCCTGGGAGTCTTCAATGTTTATGTGGTACAGTGTTTGGCTGCTAATTTCTTGTATCAGGAAGCACAACGCCAAACTTCGTCAGTGCGTAGTGAAATCTTCCAGCTCACTGAGCCGGGTAATCGGCCAGCTAACTGGCGCGCACTTTGCGACCAATGCCTCAGCATATTGGACAGCTTTACCGATGAGCTTAGTAATTCGATGCGAAAGAGCAACGTGGATCAGCCAATTTACAGCGATACGAGCAGCGCACTTCTAGCAGAGAAGCTGCTGCTACGACAATACAATCAATTGCATGGCATTCGACCTGTTGTTGCGCCACAACATGCTGAAGGTCCCAGCAGGGATTGGAATACTAAGAGCACGGATAGCATTCGCCGTGTACCCAACTGGTGTGAACGCACGTCGACGAAATTGGAGGAGTTATTGCAGGAAGTGCTACATCGTATTCCTGGCATCGTTTACTTCTTCTACGAGCCCGAAGGTGCCAAAACTGAATTTCTCCTAGAGAATGCTCTGCCCGTGATATGGTTGACGCAGGCGCTGGCTCAGATATGCGTCGCATCCATTAAGGAGGATAATTATGGCATTGTTCAGGATGATTTGCCGGCTATTATCAAGGCCTTGCATCGCCTCAAATGTGATTTGGACAGACTGGCCAACGGCACGCCCAACTTTCGCACAAACAGCAGCAACTTCAATCATTTACGTTATGCTGTTCGTCGTAGTCTCTACAACATTTGCATATCGTTCTATAAATACCTTGGGGATCTGACCTCATCAGGCGAAGAGCTGCGACAGCTACAGACGTTCGTTTATCAAGGATAGGAAGTCATACACACTTGTTAAACATCTCTCATAGTTTGTTCTTCAGTAACAATAAAAATTAATAAATACATTTACATTTACACTTGACTTTTAACCTATCTATATATAGTATATATAAGTAGATTTAACAATTAAATTTGTTTAAATCAAGCAGTTTATCGATTTGGTGTGGCATTTTGTATGCGAACTATTGTTCTACCAGTGTCAGTGCATACATGAGTAGGGCCAAATCCTGATCCTTATTCAGATTTGGTCATTGTAGTGATTTCACGGGCAACGCAGCATTGTTTACCGTCTCGCCAAATGATCTTTCAAGTTTTTCAGCCACCTCATCCATGTGCTGCAGTGCTTGCTTTCCCTTTCGATTGCGACCATCGATAAAGATCTGTGTTTGTAGATAGTTGAGCGCACGGAATGTCATGCCGCCCTCGGGATCGTATGAGCCCAAATATGTTTTAGGATTTCTGGCGCTGGCGCTCTGATCTGGTGTACTGGGATCGAAGGGCACATACTCCTGCAAGGGTTCTTTGTGCCACTTAAAAATGCTGCGTGAATCTAAAGGAAGCAGATAATATCTTTGTAGTAAAGCTATTGTATAAATATATATCCATATATGGTCACGAACCTAGGTCCGCCAGAACACGGGTCATTTCTCGTATTTGTGCATCCTGACGCTCCAGGCGAAAGTTCATTTCAGTCAGCGTGTTCGTCAGCTGCATTTTCTCCAATTGTAAAGCCTCATTTTTTTTGTTCTCTTTTATCGCTTGCCGGGAATACTCAAATATTAGCAAACCGGCGCCAATGGCAAAGATAATAAACTCTCCAAGCAGATTGGCGCCCAGCTCAATGGCCATGGCTTCATTCAAAGGTGGCACCGTGACTGGCCGTCCAAGATTCAGTGCCCACATCTTAGTTTTTACCTCCACCCAATTGTAAACTGTAAGCGAACGATAATTGAGCGGCATTAATTACCTTTATATCATATGAATTTATGTGGCTTACACTGTGCCGGCGGCATGCATATGTATTTCCTGAAGAATGGACTTGATTTTGCATTGGACTTTATAACATTGGCAATGGGCTTGCTAATTTGTTTAATTGCCAGCACGCCAAGTTTGGCGGCTGGAAATACTCCAATAACCATCTCTTATATTAATTTATATTACAAAATCTCGGCACAGAAAACTAGAAGCAAACCAGGGCTGGCGATCGACGAACACAGCTGTTTTTTCTAAGTGGCGTGTTGAGTGGGTCACGCGAGACGATACACGATTTGTGTTAATCGATATTTAAGGAACATGAAAGATTTTGAGACTTAAAGCTTTGAAATGCGAATAAAAGCAATGAATCTACAAAAATAATACTAGTGATTTTAGTCTTAAAGACTATTTCTTTCAAATTCATTTAATTGCTCACGTATTATATATATTTGTTTTTTCTGCCAATCGAGCAGATTATTCAATGTTTCTATTTCTATTCTTAGCTTCTCTTGATTCTCTCTGTGTAAGTCATTCTTCACCTTATCCTTTTTTGCTTTCCGTGAAGATTCGATGTATATCAGTAGTAAGCCTAAGCCCATTGTAAAAACTTCGCTTAAAAGGTTTGCTCCCATGCTGATAGCCATGTCTTCCGAGAGCTTAGGAACTCTTTTGGGTTGAGGTAGTCTTAGCATGTGCATTTTTGATCTTGTCTCGATCCAATGTATTATTTGACCAGCCGGAGCACAAATATACTTTTTAAATATCGAATTGTTTTGGGCAAAAGTCTTTAAAACTTTGCTGAATGGAGTGGCGATCTGCTTAATTCCAAGTACAGCAATTTTTCCGATAGGATATGCAGAGACCATTTCGATAACCAAAATTTATTAGAGTAAAAAAAATTAAAAATAAAATTGTTGAAGCATATTGTTTGACAGAAAACCGAAAATCATTTGATTTAATACAAAACTTTGAACAATTTTTGTTAGCTTTCATGAAGATCCATGAATTCCACGAGCTGTGCTTTAAGATTTATTATTTCGCGTGTTTGATTCAAAACCCGATCATTCAAAGTTTCCAACTCATTTTTCAACTTTACCTTCTCAGCCTGATGTTGACTGTTCTTCAAAGCTTCGTTCCGCGCTTGCCTTTAATAAATAATAAACTTTTTCTTTTATAAATTACAAAAACAAAAAAAGAAACATACCGTGAGAACTCCAGTAATAGCAAGCTGACAGCAATTATAAAGATCAACAGTTCACCCACTAATTCACTTCCGGTTTGGATTGCCAGCGCGTTGTTTAAGGGCGGTATATATTTTGGTTGACTCATGCCAAGTATTCGCATTTTTGTTCTTACCCCAATCCAATGATAGGCTACAGATCGTATATAATACAATATCGCAAACTTTAAAGCTACGATATAAGAAACTTCTTACTTTGTGCTGTTGGGACGATTAAATATTTACGCAATGGCTCATTGGTTTTAGCGTTGTCTTTAATGCTCTTGACTACTGGCTTACTAATTTGCTTCAAAGCTAACAAGCTTAGTTTTAAAAGAGGAAAGTGAGCCATTATTAAACATTAAAATTTAATCTATAACTTCTGTCATTATGAATAAAAATCCAAAGCAATACTCTGTACGGCAATTTCTTTTGAAAGCCTCTCAAATTGCAAATACAATTTTCAAGGCTATTTTCAAAAACATTTGAAAATATATTCAGTATACCAGTACAAATAAGGTTTAAAATAATTGTGCACCAACTCGTTACATCGATGAGTATCGCAAGCTCACTTCTTAAATCGATAGCAAATACTATACAAAATATCGAGTATTCTTTTTTTCCTACATCGCATATCTCCTATGAATGTTGGGAATTTGAAAAGTGTAAATTAGTGTGAAAACCAAGTCGTTCGGGATGGATAGCCTTGAGGTCTTAAAGCCAGCAATCAGCGGATGCTGTGTGGTCTGTGGCACAAAAACCCGTGTAGTTTGCCATCGTTGTGGTGATTTTTATTGCTCAAAGAAATGTCAGCTGAATGACTGGCAACGTCATAGGTATATATGTTTCTCAATACCCGCCCTGGTGCATCCCTTAGAATGCTCAGCTTTTGGTATTATGGAAATGCCGTCACAGCCGGGTATTCAACAAGTTTGCGACAATGTCGTCACTGCTAACAAAGTCGACGAACAAAAAGCTAACCTAGGCAAAAGGCAAAATGAAGCAGCTCCTCTTACTGCAACTACAGAAAGCGGACGCAAATACGATAATGCTTACAAAGCAGACGTATCAGTAACGGCAAGAGGCAGCAGCAGCAGCAACAACATCAAAAACAACAACAACAACAAAAGCAACAATGGCTTAAATAACAACACTTCAAAGAAAACGAATATTAAAATAAATGTTGCTCCGCCTTGTATAGCTATGCCTCTAAGTGGAGACATTATTTATATTACCGGCTTTCGATCTGTAAATCGTTGTTTTGTGCGCGAGGCCAACGAAAATGCTGAGAAGGAATATTCAGAAATTTGCCGAAAGGTTTGTGTGTGAATTTATGCTTATATTGAATATATTTCATTGTAATATAAACTGTATTTTTAGGTTAATTTGTTGGGGAAAGAGATGAACAAAATAGATAAGCCGAAGATCTTGTCGTACGCCCTAGCCAAGTATCAAGATCAATTCCGACGTGTTAAAATAATTCCTGGCTCATGTGTGCGCCTTCAATTCCTGGACTTGGGCTTTGTCAAGCCAAGGGGTAGCGTTGAAATTCATGAGATAAGCAACGAAATAATGCAACTACCTTGCAGTATCATGGAGCTTCAGCTGAAGGGCGTTCCGAACGCACCAATGAGTCATGAAGTCCTCAAGTTCATTTCCAATTTCGAGAATAGGCGGTTTATAGTACAGTATGACAATATTAGGCAAATAGATTTACAGCATGTAAATACAGGCAAATCATTGAATTTACAGATCATTGAATATTTATCAAAATTGCATCTCATTGGTAGTGCGATTCCGTCTGAGAAAAAGTTAGTGTGTGCCAAATCAGATGCACAGAACAATTTAGCTTTAGAGTCAAAAATGGATGATTCGACGCCAGATATCTCAGTGCCAGAGGATCCACCTAAAGTGGAATTTGAATTGGAAACTCAACCGACAACCAAAGCTGATCAATTTCTAAACAATAAAGAAGTGAATTTGACAAAGGAACAAATATCAGCTGCCAATGTTGAAGAAAATAATAAAATACACAACTTACAGAGCTTAGATAAGGAATCATCAGATCAACATGAAAACGCCAAAGAAAATATTCCATCTAATTTTAATATAGAGTTAAATACCATTCCGCCTGTAACTCTTGAAACTACCAAAAACGGCAACTCCACTTCGGAGATTATAAAAAATCTTAAAACTATAAACAAAATATCCACAGATATCAAAACAGATGAAGCAGATATTCAAAAGCCAAGCACGTCCATTGCTAAAACTTATTCTGATCCTTTATTAATTGCGGTATTTAAATGAAATATTTTCTTCATTTATACAGATATTTTCTAACAAATTGCATACCATTTTTACAGCCCTTCGAAACGCATCGCATTGTCATCAATTCGCGAGAAGGGATCGACATTTCCATTGTGGACAATTCAAATGTTTCAAGGGGTATTATTGGCGCTTTTGAAAGTCGATATGCACGTCATTTCTCCGATTTGCATTTTCGCTTGTCACAAATCAAGGACACGCAGCCATACAAACCTGTGTGAGTAAATATAAATTAAAGAGTCAGTCAATCACTGTAATACAAAATACATTTTTAAATTTTCAGACTCAGGGAATATGTTATTGCCAAATTTGAAGATGCTTGGTATCGTGCCAAGGTAATGGATATTAAAACGAATCAGTTTACCCGTAGATACGAAGTTATGTATATTGAATTTACCAATGTATCCACTGTAACAGAAGAGGACATTCGACGCTATCCACCAAACTTAAATGTTCCATGCCATACAAACGTTTGCCTCATAGAAGGTTGTTTATTTCAACTTGCTGTAATCGTATTTAGTGTTAAATCAATCAATTTTTTACAGGTTTTCCTCATCGGCCATCAAAGGCACAAATTAACTTTTTACAGGAAAAGTTGCAAATGCATAAGGTGTTGCACGTCGATGCTGTTAACTATTTACAGGATATGGCAATGATCAGATGCAACGCTTTAATCGATGCACTTAACAAAATAGCTTAAAGCTGCAAGAACTTTCACTACACTCAAAATATGATGTTATTTTTAAATATCGTATAACGAAGTATATATATATATATATATATATATATATATATATATATATATATATATATATATATATATATATATATATATATATATATATATATATATATATATATATATATATATATATATATGTTTAAAATATGTGTAATAAATATTTTAATGAAAGCCTATAGTGTAGTGTGTCAATCATGCAAATTTTAAAAAATATCGATTGTTGTAACGAAAATAGATATCGTGAAAGGTATCGATTAAAACTTGTCTTTCGATATTAATTTACTTCAACTTTCTATTGCGGCATATCGAAAAAAGTTCTTAGTCGCAAAACAGATCGCCCCCAACTCGCAGCTCGTATTTTGGTGACGGTGTATACACAGCCTGTGCATTTAAAATAAATATATTCCGAAACAGGAGAAGGAATACATCATCCCTTAACGTTATTTTCGACACTTAAACAAGGTAAGATATTAAACGGACTATAGCATTATTAGTGATAATAATCACATATAATATAATCTCCATACCATATATATATTACTAATAATATGTCGTCATATAAGTTCATGTAAATAAAATAAGAGCGATAAAATAATGCCTAATGAAAGAGTAGATTTGCCAAATTAAGCTTTACTTTGCCGATGATGCAAACACTTTACCCGTATTATGAAAATTAACTGATCCATACATACATTCACTGACTTTGGAATACACACACACACACACACTGACATATTCATTGTGTGACCGGCTGATGCGCGGGTAAAAAATATGTAAAGGTGAAATAGAAGTCATTCCATACAAAAGCACAGTGGAGCACTCATACATTCTTGCAAAAATACAGAGCAAACACTACATTGGAAATTGCAATAATAATCACCAAGTGTCAATTATTTTGCTTTTAACCTTATATTGAATACCTTTATCACTTCTATACATATATACACAGCATATTTACATATACTTATGTATTTATATACATATATGTATGAGGAAATGTATGAAATAAATACGAAATCCCACGACAAGGCGATGAGTAATTAAACGCCGATTAAAATTTGCCGGCTTTAATTCATTTAAATTTGTTGAATATGATTGCTTGTCGACTTTTAACAGAGCGTAATTTGTATACTGTAACTTCATTTACTGTGACTATGTCCTTCGTAAGCAGGTTCAAGGGCAGAGTCCAATAGCCTTTTGGAAATTGCTAAAATCACTTTCACTGAAAGAGAACTTTTTTCTTTAATCTGTTGTTGCTGTTGCTTTTATTCGTTAAAGCGCTCATCGCAAAAGCTCTGCTAGTGGTGTGCGTGTCACGCGTCAAGCACCCCCCAGCTGGCGCCTTCCACGCAATCGCATCATGTGGCAGGTGGGAGTGAGATAGAGCGATATAGAGCATGCGTGCTATGCGGTATGGAGATTATATTATTCCGTTCAATTCAAGGTCAGCAGCTAACGCGGCATTGTCAGCGGCGGCGTTTTCCGTATTCGACAGCTGATAATTAGAATTTCTTATTGCTTTTATTTTTGATACTTTTAGTGTGTGTTTATTTTCGGCTTCCAACAGCTGACGATCAGTTTTTTGTTTACACTCTCACCGATCACAAGTAATATTGAGCTCAGACATATGGCCAGCTGACCGAGCTTCGTGCTTGGCACCGCTAGTCTGACAGCTAAATATCGAGCTTTTTTCTAGAGATAAACTTTTGCGAAATGCCGCTCGTTATTGTGCTGGGTGGCTTTTTAGGGGTGGCCTGTTGCCGTTTGTCTTTGCCGTTCGCCTGTTTGCACCACTGGCGGCGCCGCGCTCTCTCGGCTCGGCGGGAGAAGCGTTCGTTTGGCATTTTCACCAGAGTCTCGTGGTTTTGCGCTCATTGTGCATTACCGACATTCTGAATGCTTTTGCCAAAAATTTTCCACCCAGACTCGGCCAGTCGAACGTTTTATGCCATTGTGTGAAAAACCCCGTTGCGCTTAGGTTTTGAACGCAATCATTCTTGCCATACAACGCATCGTCAGTATCTGTTTTGTGCGTATCATCCGTATCCGTATTGGGCAACATTCGAAATATAATTGTCGTGGTTTATACACTGTCAATCTAGTAGGCAACAAAATGGTTAACGTAACAATTTATGATGAGGCACCGAAGCTGAAGGTAAGGAGTCCCCCACAGTGTACAGAATTCGCGGAACATTTTAAACTTATATGTATATATATCCATAAAGATATGCGTATCAGCTTAAAAAGAAATTAAAGCAGTTATTCCAACAGTTTTGTGGCAATATTATTATGCAACTGTTTTAATTTTTTTTTTTTGGCTTATAGCAGATGCAAAAGTTGTGACCTTCACAGATGCAGCGCCGCACCGTTGCCGATGCATAAAATCTCTTCCGTCTGTCAGTCTCTCGTATTGCGTCTGTCGCACCTCCACTCCCACTCTCGCTAGCTGCCACTCTCTCATGCGTGCGATGCCCGCTCTTGCGCACTCTGTGTCGCTCTCTATTTGCGTGTCGGTAGGCGAATATCGATATAACGAACCATAATCCGCCAAAGTCAGCAGAAGTTTATTATACCTCATTGACAACGATAATTATGTTGGTTATTGGAAATTTTATTTGATACCCGATTCATTTTTATTGCAGCCAAACGAAGTACCACAAAACATGGCTGCCGGAGCTGAGAGCCAATTGGAGCATATGTGCCGCCTGCAGTTCGACTCGCCTGTGCCCCATGTGCGTCTGTCGGGAATTGTGTGCACCATCGGACCCGCATCGCGCAGTGTCGAGATGCTGGAGAAGATGATCGCCACTGGCATGAATGTGGCGCGCATGAACTTCTCTCATGGCTCGCACGAATACCACGCTGAGACGGTGGCCAATGTGCGACAGGCTGTTAAGAACTATTCGGCCAAGCTGGGATACGAGCACCCAGTTGCTATCGCCCTGGATACCAAGGGTCCCGAGATCCGTACTGGTCTCATCGGCGGCAGCGGCACTGCTGAGATTGAGCTGAAGAAGGGCGAGACCATTAAGCTGACCACCAACAAAGAATTCCTAGAGAAGGGCTCTCTGGAGATTGTCTATGTGGACTACGTGAACATTGTCAACGTGGTGAAGCCAGGCAATCGCGTGTTTGTCGACGATGGACTCATCTCGCTGGTTGTGCGCGAGGTCTCCGGGGACACGGTGACTTGCGAGGTGGAGAACGGTGGTGCTCTTGGCTCCCGCAAGGGTGTCAATCTCCCCGGCGTGCCCGTCGACTTGCCAGCTGTGTCCGAGAAGGACAAGTCTGACTTGCAGTTCGGTGTAGAGCAGGATGTGGACATGATCTTTGCATCGTTTATTCGCAATGCTGCCGCTCTGACCGAAATCCGCAAAGTTTTGGGCGAGAAGGGCAAGAACATCAAGATCATCTCTAAGATTGAGAACCAGCAGGGCATGCACAATCTGGACGAGATCATTGAGGCCAGTGACGGTATCATGGTCGCTCGTGGTGATCTTGGCATTGAGATACCCGCCGAGAAGGTGTTCCTGGCCCAAAAGGCAATGATCGCACGTTGCAACAAGGCCGGCAAGCCCGTTATTTGCGCTACTCAGATGTTGGAGTCCATGGTGAAGAAACCACGTCCCACTCGTGCCGAAATCTCGGACGTGGCCAACGCTGTGCTCGATGGCGCTGATTGTGTCATGTTGTCTGGTGAGACAGCTAAGGGTGACTACCCTCTGGAGTGTGTATTGACCATGGCCAAAACTTGCAAGGAGGCCGAGGCTGCCCTGTGGCACCAAAATCTATTTGCGGATTTGGTGCGCGCAGCCTCCGCAACCACTCTGGATGCTCCCCATGCTGCGGCTATTGCCGCTGTCGAGGCAGCCAACAAGGCCAAGGCAGCCGCCATTGTGGTGATCACCACCAGCGGCAAGTCCGCATTCCTGGTGAGCAAGTATCGCCCACGTTGCCCCATCATTGCCGTCACGCGTTTCGCGCAAACTGCTCGCCAGGCTCATCTGTACCGTGGCTTGGTGCCACTTATCTACAAGGGTAGGTGTTACGTCCCTCGGTTTGAATTTGTTAATCTCATGTGCAATCAATTTCCCAGAGCCTGCCCTCAGCGACTGGCTAAAGGATGTTGATGTGCGTGTCCAGTTCGGCTTGCAAGTGGGCAAGAAGAACGGCTTCATCAAGGCTGGCGACTCTGTGGTCATTGTCACTGGCTGGAAGCAGGGCTCCGGCTTCACCAACACCATTCGTATTGTGTAAGTAGACTGCTGACTGCTGACTGAAAGCTCCGATATAGCCTCAACTTACGTTTCACCCATCTTGCAGCACCGTCGAATAAGCCTGTTATCAGCGGCTGGCACTGCGCCCGTGTTTTAAGCGCTGTGCGCGTGCATCAATTACTGTTATTAACCAAGTTAATTTATTAAAAATTCTCAACAAATATATATGGATTATTGGATAACGAGATTGGATATATTTAACTGCTGTCAGAGCGCCACTGAGTGACTCCATGGAGTCATTCCTTCACACATACACACAAATACAAGCATACAAATATAATTTATCATTGTTAAATATAGAGTTCTTTATAGTAACAAAGATTAATAAAAACTATATGTATACATAATGCTACCTCGATTTCCGCTAGTGAAGTGTACGAGTTCAAGTTACTGCCAGTTTAAGAGCTAAAGTTTTGACCTTCAAAGAGCGTTCAAAATGTATGAGAGCCCTAAGTAATTGAATTGAATTACCTATTAAAATAAAATCAATAAAGCCGTTAGCCAAATAATATTTGTGTCTACTCTAACCTTTATTGCCGGTTAATTGGCTTGCGTTAACTGATATTGATTGGTTCTTATTCACTTTCTAATTTAGAGGCCTATATAGTACAGATGCCGTTATTTACTTTTCTTGATAGATGTGTGGAATACTTAAACATAACTTTAACAGGGGCATATTTATATTATTAATATTGATTTGCCTTTGCCTTTTAATTGTTGGATTTTTTTTATATAGTTTACTATTTAATCAAAATCAAACATATTTTTTTCAAAATTTCATATGCCAAAATTAAGTTTTATTCAGTAAAAGTTTCGCAGATTGATGACATTATTTACACGATTCACAACCCGAGTGTCTGCGCCCATGCAGATCTTGCTGCCACGGGTACAACTTGATTCGGCTAATTACTCCACCAGTGCCAAGTTGAAATGTGTAAGCGTCTATAGAGACTATATACTATTGCTTAGTATTAAGGTCTATACTTGTAGGATAAGAAACCTGAGGTCGTTGTGGACCGAGGGCCGTTCTCCTCGCAATTGGACTATCAATCTCGTCTGCGATTCAATGCACCCACATTGAGTTATGCGTTAAGCGGCATCATTTGCACGATTGGACCCGCATCCAACAAGGCGGACGTGCTAGTCAAGCTAATCGAAGCCGGGATGCGAGTTGTCCGATTAAACTTCTCGCATGGCACATACGATTACCATTGTAATACAATACAAGAGGCAAGGAAGGCCATCGAGTGCTATGCGACCCAGGTTGGAGTATACAAGCCCGTGGCTATTGCATTGGATACCAAGGGACCAGAAATACGTACTGGTCTAATATCGGGCAGCCATACTGCAGAAGTGGATCTAAAGCGAGGTGATAAAATCAAGTTATCCACCAACAAGGATTTGGAGTCAAATGGCACTAAAGATACTATATACGTAGACTATAAACAGTTGCCAAAGATTGTCAAGAAGGAAAACTTAATATTTGTCGATGATGGACAGATTGCGTTGCGCGTTACGGAGACGACTGAGTCAGAAGTTATTTGCGAGATTGTCAATGGCGGAAAGTTGGGATCTCATAAGGGTGTGAATCTTCCTGGTATTCCAGTTGATTTGCCATCTGTTTCCGAAAAGGACAAAAAGGACTTGCAGTTCGGTGTGGAGCATGGTGTGGACATGGTCTTTGCATCGTTCATACGTGATGCCAATGCCCTTAGTGAAATTCGTGCAGTGCTGGGACCAAAAGGCAAGCACATCCAAATCATATCAAAGATTGAGAATCAACAGGGAATGCATAATATTGATGATATAATTGAGGCCTCGGATGGGATCATGGTGGCTCGCGGTGATCTTGGTATAGAGATCCTTACCGAAGAAGTTGTACTGGCGCAAAAGTCCATAATAGCAAAATGCAACATGGCTGGCAAACCCGTCATATGTGCCACCCAGATGCTGGACTCCATGACGAGCAAGCCGCGGCCCTCGCGTGCCGAAGCCTCGGATGTCGCCAATGCCATATTTGATGGCGCCGACTGCGTAATGCTGTCTGGTGAGACGGCCAAGGGCAAATACCCGGTCGAGTGTGTCAAATGCATGGCGAAAATTTGTGCAAAGGTGGAAAATGTGCTATGGTATGAACGATTACAGAACGAAGTGAAGATTTACATGAAATCATCATCGTCCGACAATATTTCGGCGATTACGGCCGGGATCAGTGAGATTGCTTCCTTGGGTCAAGCCACTGCCATAGTCGTAGCGAGCCCATGTCCGGTTGTGGCTAATTTAATTAGTCAATTTCGACCGAGATGTCCTATTGTTTTTCTCACCGGTATACGAAGGGTAGCACGACAAGCAACTATTTATCGCGGTATCTATCCGATCGTTCCAGAGGTAATGACCAATGGTTGCAAAGATTTTACGACTATT